AAAAACGGTCATATCTCATTTTAATTAATTTTGTTTCTCGCTCATGGTTGATATTAAGATAAACAATAATATGTAAAAACAAATCAAATGCAAAACAATTATTTGAGGTTCACTTTACTATTTTCAATTGATTCAAATCTCTATTGATTTCCAACTACTCTCAAAATTAATCACAAAAGCATCATTTTGGTGGTGAGTGTAGTATCTTTATTCGATTAGAAATATCGATTTAATCGCTAATTATATAAAAACATCCTGTAAACTTTAATGACTTAACGACAATAATAAAATATGGTGACGCAACCATTGGGACTTGGGAAACTTAGCTATAATACAATTAAATAACTGTGGTCCATATAATAGAGAAAGTAAGTGAGCAATGACTTTTAACACGGCGTTGAGTGGTGAATCCTATGTAGTAATTTTTAATAATAATAAATACCTTCTGCAAGATAACTTTTAGAATAAGGCTGCCGCCAACAGAGTGAATGTTGACGTCTACTCATATTTTTCTCAAGGTTTTACCAAACCTAATAATTTAATACCGGGTCGGGTATTTATTTCGGTAACTGTGCAAGAATGAATTCTTCCACATCATGCAATTATTAAATAATTACTAAAATGCAAGCCATGTGTCTACTAAACGGACAGCACCACACCAATTTTATCAAATTACAATTTACCCGGTCTTTCTTCTCGTGTACCTCGTTCTGAATCCAATAACTAAAATTAATTATTTGAATCAGGACCGACAAACATTAAAATTCACCAACAATGTTTTAAATATCTACCCAAACCAATTCGATCTCTCCCAACCCGTGGCTAAAGTATGGGAAATGCTCGAATTGGCTCGCGACGGCATAATTGGGTATTTTACAGTAGGGAGTAGAAAGAAGATATAAAAAGTATTTCAAAATTTAATTTGTTGTGGAGAGAGAATATGCTTACGATTTTATATTTTTAGTTTTTAGTTTCGTTAAAAGAAAAGCTGTAATTGAATAAAATACCTTGTAGATATTGAATTGAAATTTAGTACAAACATTTCTGAGACATTAATTAGACATTCTTTTCTATTCGTTCAAAAATGTATCACTCTCCACCAGCCACAGCCAAGTTCAATTACTATTTCTTAAAAAATTGGAATTTGTTGTTTCTTTAATAGCGTGGTCTTTATTAGATTTAAGTTTATTTGAAACAAAATTGAGGCTGGTCTAAGCAATATGCTAACTAAATCATCAATCCGGATCTGTATTTAAAAGATTAGATTAAGGATAAAGTTTATCAATGCAAAACCATGATGCTATTTAACGAACTGTGGCAAGATCGATCGAAAATTGTTGTAATTTTCTTGCGTGTTAAGCTTTCGTGCATAAAGTGACTAGAAAATACGTACAATTAAACAAATCTCTAGTTGAACTTTTCGTCTAGGTCTCCTGGGTTCGTGTTCTAACGCTCCGTCGACCTCTCCAAATAACTATGCAGAAATTGCAATTGGTTCAGAAATTTAGATCTAAATCTCGTTTAGGAACATGAATTATAGGTTGCCCATTTAAATATTTTCATATTTTTATTTAAAATGAAAAATGCCAAAAACTTAAGGGGTTATTCTTTGTTTAAAGTTAAGGGCAGTTTGTTATATAAATGTTGGGTCCAAAGTCAACGATTAGGGAGATATCGCGCTAGCAAATATATAAAAATAATGATTTTATTTTTTATCTGAAAAACGAAAAAAGAGCAAAACAATGTTGCGGAAGTATTACTATCACAAAAACACACTTTCTGTATTTTGTTTTTATTTTTTTTTAATGACTGGAGGGGATTGAATTAGATCACCCCAATCATTCATCCTAAATAAATTAATAAGGAAAAACTTATGCAATGACATTTTTTTGATTTTATGTTTTATTTAGAAACTTTTGTCTCCTGCAACTTTTTCATAATACTTACCGTTTCCAAAAAAGAAAATAAAATAGGCGTTTGTTGTTTTATTTGACATTATTAAGATTATATGTCAATTATTTTTTAAATGTAATTGTTTAGAAGATAAATGCTTAATGTTGGTACAAAATACAACTGTTTGCAAGCACGCAACTATTTCTTTTTCCAAAATAAAACCTTATTTTTCCGCCATATTTGTAGCGCGATATCTACCTAATGATTGGCTTTTAACCTAACTACCCTTCATTTTTTAAACAAGAAATGAATCCCTTAAGTTTTTGGCAGTTGTTTTCAAACACCTTCTATGGGAAAAATTAAAAAATATATTTTATTAATGTGATAGTGGTGTTCTAGTAATAATTCGGCAATATTTTATTGTTCTATTTATTTTCTTTATTAAGATAAAAAATAAAAAATATTATTTTTATTTATTTTTATTATTATATATCAAACTACTCTTTACTTTAAACAAGAAATCACCCTCTCCAGTTTTTCGTATTTATTTTAAAACGCCCTGTATTTGAACAATTACTACTACTACTATAAATTAGAATGACATAATGGAAAGACATAATATACTAATTATTATATTTTTCGTTTTAATTAAAAGATAGCGGCTAATCGAAGCTGTTTAGGCTGATCTTCAAAGAAAAACACTTAATGATTGAATTCAAAAGTAATGTATAAGTAAACATAATTTTTAAAACTAAAATTTCCCTTTATCATCAAACTATTTTAGAACAGCGTTAAACATTCACTTTCTTTATGCATCTAGTCAATTAGCATAAAGTTCAAGATTATGACATTGTGTACGTTCTTGAATAACCGTCGCTAATAGAACTTACTTATTGTTGATGAGGAAAAGTATAATCGATAACCGAATGCCTCTTAACGGTGAAAGATTAATACCATACGGCGCGGATATGTTTGTATACTAAATGCTTTCACTACATGTGGAGTGCGTAGAATATTGTTACCTATTTGGAATACAATAGAAATTCGATTAATGTATATCATCTGCAGCTATTAGAGGCCGATTTAATTATTTTTACCTTAGTTTTAAGATTATGTTTAATGTAAAAAATTTATGATTTTCTATGGACATCGACTTTAATTGTAGACACGCTTTATAGAGAATGTTTTGCTGTTTTTTATGAAATGTGTAATAAAAATGTCGTTAAGATGAAGAGCTAGTAAATCTTGTGCACGATTAAAATTAAAAAAAAATTAAATTTCATGTGGTTAAGAATGCGAAGAATTGTTTCCCTCATTTGAGGTTTTATGTGTAGGTGTGGAAAAACACGTTCCGATTTATCGATGCTTTCTTTTTTTATTTATTGTATGTATTACTTAGTTCATCTTACTGGGATCAATATTTTTAAAAATATTAAATGTTTGATCAGCTCAAATGTTTAAATGTTCGTTGTCTATGCATTCTTGAGCGTAGCCTGGTTAGCGATTTTGACTTTTACTTTTTTTAGTTTACAGTTCTTGATAATGAAATATCAAATATAATAGCAATAGTATATTATGAGAAATGTTTTGTAAAAGTCACTTTAGTCACAAGTTTCATATGGCACTAACGCGGCGAGTGTTTAATAAACGAGTGAATAAAGAAGTTTTCAATGTTTTACATACTCTATTTTTTCTAAGACCGTTAGTTTCTCGTTTTATTTAAAGTTTTTTCTTAAATTATTTTCTTAGTATTATTCCAGTGGTATTGAAAATGATTGAGAATTGGTTGAATTTTTAAAAGTACTCAACATTTGTCAGTAACATTTTGTGATTTTATCCAAAAATAAAGGTGACTGTTGCAAGCAATTCATATTTTGCCTAAACCCTAGTATACGGCTCAAAAAATATAATATCTGACGGTTGTATTTTAGGTTTTAGAAGAAATTCTGTATGAATTTGTATTTAAGAAATCATATCGAAAATTTGATGCGAATATATATCGAAACTTTAGTTTTTAATTCCTGTCAATTTTTTTAAAATATCTTTCGATTTTTTCAAAAATAAGTTTACGTTACCTTTGAGCAAAATTCATATTTTTGACAACGCTCTTAAATTGAATTTTATTGTATTTTAGATTTTAAAACTTTTTATAAAGAATAGCTTTTTTTGATGAAATTGACAATAAAAATGTTCCCCATATGGTTCCAATTTAATTTACATTCTGTATATTGTTACGTAATCTAACATACATAAAACAGTAAAAAAATCATTTGTCAACGTGTGTCAACGTAGGTGTTTATTTGCAGTTTATCGTCGAGGAAAGGATGCTGCTAAGAAAGTCGTTAAACAATGACAAACGAAAGTGAAATCACTATTCATCATTTTAGTCATATTTGTTGTATTGTTTTGCGATACATTCTACTAATAACCAGCGATCGTCGTCGTTGATTTATGTCCGAGAGAACCAATAAGAAACTTTCCTAGCCGTTATGTACGGAGGATTATGGTATTTCCTTAAATTTATTGCCGTTGACCTTTGCTTGGTCACTGTTAATTTTCCAGGCAATAACACAAAAGAATTATTAATTAAAATTTTATTTATTTTGAAATTCGTTTTTAATTACTATTTTTTAGTTTATTTTAAATTAATCAGCAACAATATGCGGTTTTGGTAGAGACAACACATTTAAAAAAATCAAACCCATACAAGCGTTGAATCAAATGTTATCAATGAAATAATTTTTTTGAGCACGTGTCTTAAATTCTCAGAATTACGAGAAATTTAAAATTCAGAAATCTAAGGACTAAATTTTATTTTGAATTTTTCTTATTTTTTTTGACTACATTATGAACAAACTGATTAAAAGTGTTTTTTTTTTCGTTTTTTAATCGAAAAACCCATACAATAAACATTATAACAAATACAGTAGGATTGAAAGAGAGATTCCTAAGTTTAGTAAAACTGTATAACCCGCTTGTAGCTAATTATAATAAATACATGTCATTAACGCAACAGATTTTGTTAACTCTTATTAATAACGTGATTTATTTAAAAAATTTATTCTGTATTGCTGTTATTATGCTAGCTAATTGAACTTTGCTTGCAGGCATGAAATTCTTCGTATTATTTTTTACCATTCTATCGACTTGTGCGATTTTCACAGAAGCGTATTCAAGAAATAAAAGAGATGTAGATAAAAAAAGTAAGAACTAATAAATTTATGTCTGTATGTACATAATTAATTATCATACATGCCCACCTTGCAGTTAAAAGACAAACCAGTGCAGACCAAATGGTTCAAAATATACTCCAGTGGCTGCAGGGTCTATACGCAGAAAACACTAGAACCGGTAAGTTTTGTTTCATTTTACCAGCCCACCTTACCTTTACCTTTTTACTTACCGTAGTGTATATAATAATGGAATGTATACAGGGTGGTGCAAATTATAATGGAGAAACTTTAATAGCGTAACCAGCAAATAAAAATAAGTAATATATATATGTAATGTTGAAATATTGCGAAAAACCTTTTTTTTTTAATTTCAGTTTTTGATTTCAAATTTGTGCATGTGGACCTATTTCGCGAAGCACTCTTTATGAGTTATTTAATTAACACACGAAATAATAGGAAATATGTTTTTTTAAATAAGAAGAAATGTTTTATTTCGCGATATTACAATACAGTATTTTCAAAAAGTTTCTTAGGACATGAACTTTTTAAATTATTTTTATCTGCTGTATAATTAGAAATATCAGATCTGCATGTTTTTAAATGGCGTTAAAACTACCGTTTATATGTTTATAATTTAATTCTGCATCTGGCTTTTAAAATTGCAAAAAGCAAAACTTTAATTGACTACTAGTTAGTAATATAATCAAGGGAAAAGTAAAAATAACTGAATTGTTATATGTCGCCCACCTAAAGGATAGACAGGGCGATTCATTAATGATTCGAAATATTTTAACTGTATAATCTTGTACTCAAATAATACTAAGAGTTAACTCAAATCGCTTTGATAAAACGTGTTTTTCCGGTTGTAGAAATTGCCCTTTTATTTAGACTGTTAAAAAATGGTTCTTTTATTTCAAAATCCGTCTGTTGGTTTGAGGAAATTGCAATAAATAACATTATTTCTTTTTGTTAATATGGATTAATGACATTAAAGTTTCGTAATAGATGTTAAATATATTGAACAATAATACTTTTATCCTTATGAAATTCTACAAAATTCGCAAGTCCTCAGTGGTGTAGATTTTGCTACCAATACACTAACAACTTGCCACTTGCGACTATGACACCCTTCTGTGTACTTCACGCCAAGTATGACAAGGATACGTCAAATAATGTCAAAGTACTGGGCAAAAATAACTTTTAAATTGAACACATGTACAGTTTATATGTTTACAATGAATCTCCTGGTATACGAAAGGAATATAAAATTATAGTTTTAACCTCCACAGGATTTAACTCATTTTGATAAAGCTATTGTGATCAAAACCGGGAAAATCGCCTTAACAGTAAAATATTTAATGAAAACATAGAAACAATTAAGATTGGATCAAAAACAAAAAATCCATTATATTCTACATTAAATATCTGCAACCCACAAAAACGAATAAGAATTTCGGAATCGTCTTACATTGTATGAGACATTGCACAACCTCTATTATAAAATCAAATTTTCTGGTGTTTTCCAGCCATTCAATTTGAAGTGAATCATTAAAGTGGTCGAAAAATGTTAATGTTTAATATCACGTGCATATGCCCAGACAATGTATATAGTTCATTTTTTTGTAATCGTCAAGCGATTCAATAGGTTTATTGTAAGTACCGATTATTCATGCCATTGAAGCTACGGTTCGCAATGGGTATTTACGATAACTAATGCCGCGTTCATCTCACTTCAGTTGTTGACATCGCCTCTTTAAAGGCATCCTTTTGTATAATCCGATAATAAATCTATTAGCGGGTAACTATAATCGTATATTTTATATGCCGACGTTTTTATGGTGAATTTCGAATGAATGACCAAGACTTTAATCGTTCAAAATTTCTTTGAACACTGCATATGTATAAATACGATTTAGTTGTAAGAATCTAACGGAATTTGATAGGTCCAAATTTTCCTTTTTTTTACTTAACACGACCGTGCGACACACAAAACCATTATTAGTAGGTGTATAAATTTTCTACTTTTCAACTGATACAGATGAGGTAACATCGGACCTTCTAATTTTCTTTGAACACTCCATATGTATCAATACGATGTAGTTATATAACTAACAGATAATACATAATATGTCATCATCTTCCTAAATAATGATTTCCACACACTTAACTCGTTTTTCCAGAACATTTAATGTAATCTAGGCATATTTTAAGAAAATACGTAAAATGCCGCATCTAAAAGATCCGTCAGCAGCCATGTTGGTTGTTGAAACCCGGAAGGTAATTGATAAAAACGAAATTTGAAATCTCGCTCATGCGCATTGGCATTGATATTGATATTAAAGGGGGGCGCCCTCGCGGGCGTCCAAGCACTTAGGCCACCAGATAGGCCCGTTGTGCTCCGAGGCCGCTCTAGAGGGCGTCCAGAATGAGCCCAATACCGTGCACTGAGTCCGGATCGATCAGGGCCGTTCCGAAGACTCCTAATCTTGCCCATGTCAAGGCAGGGCACTCGGTGAGCAGATGATACGGGGTCTCCTCCCCTTCCATGCACCATCTACACTCCGGGTCGTCTCCAATGCCTAGCAAGCAAAGATGCCTCCTAAGCCTGCAATGTCTTGTGTAGGCCCCTGTTAGTGCTCTACACTCCCTTCTGGTCGGTCTAAGCAGCTCCGAGGAAAGGCGGGCCCATCCATCATAAGCCTCGCCTGCCTCATTCCCGGAGCAACTCTCCAGCCCACCTCGGCCCGGTCTCTCGCCCAGGCTTCGAGAGCTCCGCGCCTCACACACGGGGCGATCCCTTAGCGGGGCTCTGGCCCTATATGCCTATGCGAGGAGCCGTCTCTGGCTAAGGCGTCCGCTGCCTCATTGCCCCGGACACCGGTGTGACCCGGGACCCAGACCAACGTGACCTTCCTCTCCTCAGTACCCCTTTGCACTCCTTTATCAACAAGGAGCGCGTACGCACTGACTTCAGCGCCATAAATGCAGCCCTACTATCCGAGCAGAAGAAGACCCTCCTGCTTCCGTGGTTGAGTCGAAGCACCTCTCTGGCCGCCATCAATAAAGCGATAATTTCCGCCTGAAACACAGTGCAGTACTGACCCAGAGGGACAAACTCGATCCCGTTGTCTCGCAGTACGTTCCAGCTCCGGCCAGATCTCCCATTCTGGACCGGTCCGTGTACCAGACAAGTCCATCCCAGGAGCCGACTCTGCCCTCTCTCCACTCTTCCCTTGATGGGAAGAGAAAGGTCACTTTGTCAAAGAAGGTCGTTTAGGGGATCATGACGTCACTCGGCATGCCCATGACCCCGCGATCCCCGCGCCAGCAGTCTAAAATGTCGTACGGACCCCGATTGAAGGTTCCCTCCCTCCAGAGCCCGCAACTCGCCAGCCTCACAGCTGTCCTGGCCGCCTCCACCTGCACCCGATCCGCCAGAGAGGGAAACCCCACCAAAGCTCTAGGGCCCTCGTTGGCGCCGTTCTCATGGCACCCGTTATGCAGAGGCAAGCCAATCTCTACAGTTTGTCAAGAACTAGCTTTGCTCCCGCTCTTTTGCTCCCCGGCCACCATGCCATGCGTGCCCCATGCGTGAGCATAGGCACCACCATGGTACCGTAGATCCACTGCATGATCTTCGGCCCCAGGCCCCAAGTGCCCCCTACCGCTCTCCGGCACGCCCACAGAGCTCCAAAGGCCGACCTGGTCCTTGATCATGCTCATGCGCATGTATTATTGTATTATATTTATATTTATTTAAAAGAATCTTACGGAATACCATGCGGCACGTAACATAACGATAACCAAATATAAGTTAAATTTAATATTTAGCAAGTGCATAAGTTTTCTACTTTCCAACTGATACAAATGAGATAACATCTGAGGGGACTTAAGCGACACCATTATAGTTTTTAACCTAAACCATCCAAATCATGTAAATTTTAAACCATCTCTCATGTAATTTATTTAAATATGACACGTCGATAAAGTGACCTAAACGATGTGTCTAAGTCTATGAATTTTTACCACTTATATATATTATAGTATATAATTATTACATTCCTTTTTAAGTTTTGCATCTTGTTCATGACTCCTACGACTAAATGTTTTGTGTTATTCTGAAAAAGACTTTTGTATCTTTTTTTGCTTAATTCAACGACAATCATAAAAATCAATAACAAACTGTTGAATACACCATACACTCTAACTGTCATATCCATGCAGTACGTCAGGGAACGCTTAGGGAATACCTACCGCCCGCCAGGACAGAGAAACCACGCCCTTTTCAACCTGGATACCCAGAAGCAGGCATAACTCCGCAACCACCGTTTAACTTTTTCACAAATCCTGCGACGGGCGGAATAACTGCACCGGACAACGAAATACTACCTCCAGAAACTCCCAGAGAACCACAGCCCTCAGTACCTACAGGTAGGTAAACGTCACTAACAAATCCTTAGTGAACACAGGTCATGTTTTAAATTAAATCTTTACTTTCTCAATAAGTATTTTTTGCAAACAACTTTAAAACATACTTGTTTTAAAATAACGTTTTGCCATTGACCTGCGCAGGACCTTTTGCAACATTTCCACCAATACAGAGTACTCCTGTGGGGCCGGGCGAGTTTCCTTCAGAGACACCAATCAATGGAATACCTCATTTTCCCACACACCCTTCGATACATCCCGATAGGACAACTGTAGTACCAGGTACAGATCTAGTGACGAGCGAACCTGGGGCACCGTCCGTAGTAACTGGAGCTCCAGAAGGTGAACCTCCGTTGGAGACTAGCCAACCGGGAGGAGTACCACCAAGCGTGCCATCAATTCCTCAACCCACTATTGGTGGAGGAGATCAAGGAGAAGTACTCACGCATCCCACAGACGGTAACTTGAAATTGAATTTCGGTGCAAAAAAACTAGCCGAACGTTTCTAGGTATTCCGGCCCAACCTGAAGTTACAAAGCCACCTGTGGAAATAAGTACTGGATACGGTGTTCCAAGTCAGCCTCCTCGACCCGGCTTCCCTACTACTAGACCAGAAAGCCCTACAAGACAACCAGATGTGTCTACCGTATCACCAGTTACTACTACAAGACCCGACGGTACTCCAGCTCCAGAAATACCTGGCGAACTTCCAATAGGTATTATATTTATTTCCGTACCTGTTTCTTTAGTAGCAGAACTTATACGTTATTTCAGGCTCCACTTTTCTACCAGGCAGAGCTACTCCAGAAGCGCCAAGTGTAACTACTGAATCGAGCTTAGGCGTAACCCCACAACAACCCGGAATACCTACCACAATAGGAGTTATACCGTCTGGCGACACTCTTCCCACAAACGCAGTGCCTCAAGGAACCAGAGGACCACCATCAGAAACGGAATCTCCCGCAGAACCACCAGGGTCGGCACCTACAAAAGGCGCCGAAGGCGAAACTACCTTATCTCCCGAAAGCAACACCATTCCAACTGGAAAAACCGTGGAGACTTTCGGGCCGGATGACGACGAGGAGCTTAAACATCCCCCTCACATCCACGCGATAGACGTGCAGTGCGGCAAAGAAATGATGACGATCAATATAGAATTCAGTAGAGAATTTAACGGAATCATATACTCCAAAGGCTACTATAATATGCCCGAGTGTAGATACGTGCAAGAAAACTCGGGCCAAACAAAATACACGTTCACCGTAAACTTGAACATGTGCGGAACAGAATTCGTCAATGCATTCGACACCGAAGGCAAATCTTATTTGGAAAACATTTTGGTACTACAGAACGAGGCCGGAATTCAAGAGGTGTGGGACACCATCAGATCCGTCAGATGTTTGTGGGAAGGCAATCTGCAGGATACATTAAGCGTTGCTTTCAGCATAGGCATGCTTAGCCAGGAGATTGTTACGTTCAGTGGTGACACGGCGATGGCAAAACTGGACGTTTTGATGGGCAGGGGACCGTTCGGTCAACCGGCGAATGGGTTAGTAAAAATCGGGGAACACATGACCTTAATAGTGTCCGTTACCGGTGATCCCGGCTTCGATCTTCAAGTTAAAGATTGTAAAGCTATAGATTCGACAAGCGCGAACTCTGTACAACTAACGGACGAGAGCGGATGCGTGCTGAAACCGAAACTGTTTGGTGCTTTCCAGAAAACTAGAGATACCGGTAATTCGGGTGCTTCGATTATAGCGTACTCGTACTTTAACGCGTTTAAATTCCCGGACGTGATGGACTTGATGATCGAGTGCAACATTGAACTGTGCAAAACGGATTGCGACATGTGCTCGAAGGATAATCAACCGTTGGAACCGACGCTGAGACGAAAACGAGAAGTTTCTGGCAACGATACGTTAGCGGACGGAGTAACTATGGGAAAACATCTGAGAGTGGTGCTACCGGAAGACTTAAACGAGGGTATCCCTTTGAAACTGCAAGTTACAGACGACGTATGCATGTCTCTTCGAAGTTTTATGTTCTCTGCGGGAGTGCTGATATCACTCTTAACCGTTACCAGCGTTACGACCACGTGCCTGTGGGTGAGAAAGGGTAACCCAAAATACTTAAACTAGCATTTTTTTAGTAGTGTTACGTATTTGCAAAAAATGTCCTGCCAATAATTTTAAATGCTAACGTGTAAATTATTTATGCAAAATACTGTTACTTTTAAGTCCCGTAAGAAAACTGTAAATAAATATGTTTAAGAATCTTACGCAAGTACTCTTATTTCTTTTGTTATTTGGCCTTATTAGTAAATTTTATTAGACATTTAAATTCTATACAACCTGACAGACGTTTTAGCATTGAATTAGAAACTGATAATAACCTCCCATTCTTAGATATTCTTATTAATAGAAAATCAGACCTAACAACCTAACATCGGGTCATTGTGTTTACAGAAAACCTACGCACACAGACTGATACCTTAATGCACATTACCACCCGGCCCAAAAATTATCGGTTACCTCTCTCTAATAATTTCCAGATTAAAAGTATTAAGCGTTCCATCACAAAATAAGCTTCACCACAACCTTCCAATAGCAATGAGCCCCAAAAGGAATCCCACACTTGCCTTCCTTACATTCGAAACATCACTGACCACATAGAAGCATGACGTCAAAACCAGATTTACCACTTGTCCAAAAATCTCTCAACATTTTCGTTCCGTCAAAGACAAAATTCCATTTGAGATGCCAGGAGTTTATAGCATTCCATGCATATGCGGCAAGGAATACATTGGAGAGACCAGACGAAAAATATCAAGTAGGCTCAAAGAACATTAAGATTAAGATAAATAAACTCATCAGCGCAACACATTCACGAAATCGGACATCAAATTTTGTGATCCATTCTTCGAAAAATCTAAGAATCTATAGAAATCTATAAGCAACCATACAATGTTAACCAAACCAATACGGGAATCGGTCATCCGAGACGATGTTCACGCACGTCCTTTAGCTTCGCCCCCTCAAACCATATATAAGCAGCTACAGAATAAAATGCGAGTCAGTTTCAGTTAAGCTCTAAAGAAGTCAACAGGATGATTGGAGAAACGTTCGATTCAGAAACAACTCACGCAAGAAGAATCCAGAAGTTTTGTAAAGAGTACCTTTATTTCAATTTCTTCAGAACTTATAATTAATGTACTTAATTAAATTAAACGCAACATTACAAAACGAAAGAACAAAGCACTGAAATTACTTGAATAAACCCTTGGAACCAAAAGAAAATCCAAAGGTGGTCATTGGTCGGGCGTCGAACGGAGCCATGTCGATAGTTTCTCCATCCTCGTCGAATTCATATTCAGGGCTCCGGTAAGCATCGCTTGCGACTAAAAATTATTGGCTACAGCGTAGACCTTATTTCATGCCAATTCGGATATTATTATTAAAAAAATTGTTTGATTTTTTTTTAAATCATTTCTTATTAATTAGACGTTAAAAGAATTGAACTATAATATTTCACAAAACGTCGTGCCCAACGAATATATTGAGTCCGAAAACAAACATATTTGACAAAAATATGCAAAGGAAACTAAGCAACCAAACGAAATCGCAAATTTTAAATTATTTTATTATTAAAAAAGCTTGAAGCAACATTATTTTAATTATTAATTAATTAAATGGAAAACTTTTTAATCTAATTAGTTAAGAGAAACTGGGATAATTTCAATAAATTTAGTGTCTATGTTACGGTTAAAATGTAAATTCGGCAAGTTATAAACCGGCTGGATGGAATACAAACTATTCAAACGTCTGGCTATTTAGATGTAAAATCATCAGTTATACAAAATATACAAATTAAACGATGTTTTTGACTAGTTTACAAACTGTCCAGACTAGCTGACTGATAGAATGTAAACCTAAAATCTTCCCTGTGGCTATGTAGTTTGTTATTTTGATTATTATTGCAACAGAAAAAGGGATATTTTTGTTTATATTTGGATTTATAGGCACTAGCAACTAGCAATACGCTGCATACGCTAATTTAACATTGGAACAAAGCCACAGTCGAATAAGAATTTGCAGCTAACATTTCAGTGATGACAGCTTTGCAAATGAGCTCGAAATCGCCTTCAGAAATTTGCAATTCCTTCTTTGAAATTAGGTGCCAGGTTTACTGATCGACTGGTACATTTATGTAATAAATATATGCAAGTTAGAAAAGACAACCAAAATAAATCTTATATTAAGGAAGATGTATGAATTTAAAATTAACACGGCAAGCGTCGGATGCCAGTCAAAATGTTCAAATTAAATAGATAGCTATAGTTGTTCATTTGTTTATCGAAAATCGAACATTTCGTACGTACTTGCGAATTATTGACATGGGCTTTCTTTTAGGGACACCTATTATGTCAATTACGATTTTAACTGGTACTTATTTCATATGACGGAAGTTTGTCAATAATTTTATATAAATATAATATAAAACAAATATAATTAGAATAAGAACAGAGCCTCAAATGTTTGACAATAGAAATTTCCTATTACTAACATTAAATTAATGGTTCAATTTTACGTTCAGCTTTTTTAATGGTTGAATTTTTCGTTCAACTTTTTGAAAAGAGTAATTAAACTTTGCGGTAGAGCATGATTACATTAAGTCTCTGTAAATATATTTAATATTTTATATATATTATTTATATATATAATATTTTATATATATATAAATATTCAATAATGGTTTTTTGTTTGTTTAAACATTTTCATTTTGAACTATGTAAAAATAAAAATACCTTCATTAAGTGCGTCATATTATTTATTTATAAATATATCATATTTTTGGAAACCCCCGCGTAAATAGATATGCGGAACATCAGAGATCCCTCGTAACTTGCCCGAACGACTGTACGTCGTGGAGAAGCGACCGCGACTCGCTTAAATCTCAACACATTAAAAGCCACATCAAAAGTCCGACAGAAAGTGCGGCAACTTATATTTTAATTCTGGTATAGGCAGGTTGATGTAACAACCGCTGAGGTGCCAATTAAATTACATTGTTTGGCAAATAAATTTATAAGCAGTCCACAGATTTCTAGTTCTAAATTAACCAATTCCCTTGACGTTATATTTACTGTTTCGTGTTGTTATTGTTTACTGTTATTGTTGTTACTTTTTGTGTCAATTTGAAAGTCTGGAAATTACGAGCAAAGGTCGCAACATTCGTAAGTTATAAAGAAAATACGCGAAACTGGTAGTTATAAGAGTTATTGTTATGTGATAAATACGTAGGATTTACGGAGAATCAAATCATCTTATGTAATATTACAAGAAAGACTTGCATCTTAATTAATTTTATGATGTCATTAAAACTGCCCCGTTTGTTGTTTTTTATTTAAATTATATTTAAGTAGTAATAGCAATGTCATGTTATCAGTTATCCAAATTCTGTGGCTGGTTTCTTAAAAAGTTGAAAACCCTTGTTAATTTGAATACTGGTTGTTAGTAAATTGTGTATATACAAATACTATTATATATAGGTATAAATTGTACAATATTGTACCCTATTTAGTATAGTATACAAACTAACCAATATAAGGAAGGAAGGAACTCCGATATAAAACCCTAGTCCTCCAGGTCCCACGGCTTTCCAGGGGGGGGGGGGGTACTCATAAAAATCATAAAAGGTTAAAAATTTCGATAAATCGTCTCGGAATAAGGACAGATCAAAATGGATACGAAAACTGCAACGAAAAAGAGTAATGAGAATGACAACATGGAACGTACAGGGACTAAGGATAAAGCAATCAGAAGTCTTTCGGGAGCTTAAAAAGATGAACATTGATAGTTGCGTATTGACGTAAGTCAAGAAAAAAGGAAAAGGGAATGAAAACATTGGAGAATACGTACACTTCTACAGCGGGGTGCGACAGGATGCTAAAGAAAAGAGAGGAGTGTCGATAGCGGTACATAAAGATATGCAGAAATGCATCAAGAGTTGGGAACAAATAGATGAACACATAATGAGAATGACATAGAGATAGAAAAAAACAGCCGGCATATTGTAGTTATTGGAATCTATGCTACTAGCGATGACGCATTGTCGCAAGTTAAAGATGAATTTTTTGACAAGCTTGTACAGGTAGTGTCGAACATTAAAAGAGATAAGGAGATAGTCATCTTAGCAGCTTTAAAGGCAAGAACAGGGACCGAAAAAAACAGTAAAAAAATAGGTGAACCGGTTGTAAATGACAACGGAATGCGGCTAAGGGAGATGTGTGAAATCACAACAATGAAATTAATGGAAGGGTTTTTCTCCATAAGAATATTCATAAGTTTAGTTGAGGTCAATAATAGTCCATATAATTACACCAACAGTACTGTCAATTAAAGATTACAGATATCAGAGTGCTCCGCGGACTAGAATGCGGGTCAGACCACTATGTAGTAATGGCAAAGGTAATAGTAAACTATAGGAGAAAAGAACAGAAAATAAAATCACAAGACCAACAAGACAAAATAATCGAATTAAAATACAACCTTGAAAGTTTGAACCCTGAATCAACCCAATTCCTGTATAAATTAAGACTAGCTACCAAGCTACAGAACCTGGAACCAAAAAATATGAATGCAGAACACTCATATGAACATATAAAAAAATATATACAGGAAGCGGCAAAAAAGCGCTGGGATACCAAGACACCAAGAACACTAAAAAACCAGAATGGTACTCAGAAGAAATAAACGACCTAGTACACAAGAAAAAAAAAGCATATAATATGTACCTAAACTCACATAAAGCAGAAGACAGAAAAAAATATATGTATTGGAATAGAAAAGTAAAAAAATAAATCATAAAAAGTAATATTATATATGCGAAATGCGAAGAGATTGATAGGTATATGGGAGGAACGAAGGTGGCAATGGCTTGAAAAACTATAAGAAATATGAGAAATGAAGAAAATCAACAAAATAAGTTCAATTTAATAGACAAAAACGAATGGGAAAAGCACTACAAAGAATTATTAACGAAAAAGAGATCACAATTCAAGTTACAATAAAAGGAGATTCAAATTAAAAATCAAGAAATAGACGAGATAATAATAGACGAAATTCGAAAAGCTTTACAAGATTCAAAAAATGGAAAAGCATCAGGGCCTGGAAACAACATTCCTATTGAACTAGTGAAAAATGGGCCAGTGATCCTACACTAAACAATAACCATCCTATTTAATGAATGCTTAATAAATGGGGTCACAATCCCAGAAAATTGAAATATGACATATATTTTACCGATATACAAAAAAGGGGATAAGAAAAACTGTAATAATTATCGTGGCATTAGTGTAACTAGCGCAATGGGAAGGTTGTATGGCAAAATAATAAAAAATAGAATCTAAAAAAATATAATAGAAATAGAACAGAACAGATTTCGCGCAGGTCGAAGATAGAAAAAATAGACTGCAACAAGGAAAAAAAGCTACAAGAATTTTAAATTCATTGCTTTGGTCAGAAAGAAATAGGTTAAATACAAAATTGTCAATCTACAAAGTTATAGTGTGGATGTGAGTGCTGGCAATTGACGGACAGGCACGAAAAACAAATTGATGCTATTGAAATGGACTACCTGCAGGATATCTAGAACACAACATATACGAAATGAAAACATACGACGAAGAACAGGGCGAGTAAACACGACTGCAGAGAGAATACAGAGAAAACAGTTACTGGCTATGTATATATTATATATATATATATATATATATATATATATATATATATATATATATATATATATATATATATATATATATATATATATATATATATATATATATATATATATATATATATATATATATATATATATATATATATATATATATATATATATATATATATATATATATATATATATATATATATATATATATATATATATATATATATATATATATATGTATATATATATATATATATATATATATATATATATATATATATATATATATATATATATATATATATATATATATATATATATATGTATATATATATATATATATATATATATATATATATATATATATATATATATATATATATATATATATATATATATATATATATATATATATATATATATATATATATATATATATATATATATATATATGTACATATATACAATTAGCGTTTCTATCTGTTTTAGTTAAAAAAAGTAACCAGACCTTTATATATAGTCTATACACTTTCCAACTAATCTCTAAACTAGGCGAGTTAACATTTTAATCGTAACATATGCAAAATAAAAAGTCGATCATATTAAATAAATTCTTTTTCTTGCCATTTCCAGCCAGTAAACCAATAAAAAGGAATTTCCACATATATTTTTAAAAAAAGGGTAAAAAAAACAAAAAGTCTAAAATTTTGTCTACTCAAAAACTATACAAAAAGTGAACAGTTTATATAAATTTGATCGTACAGAGTAGACTCGGAGCTGAAAAATTAAAAATGTCAAAAAGTAGCAAGTATAGCAAATATAGAAAACAAGATTTATCAAATCGATAATCCTATTCATTGGTAAAAGTAAAACCCATATTTTTAGTTAAAATTACCAAACCCATTAACTTCAATAGCTGTGGTAAGCACAAACCCTACTATTGCGAAATTTTTCACTTTTACCGGTAATCTTAAATAGTTAATAATTTTTAAACGATTTTGATAGAAATTCTATTTTTAACGCTTTAAAGAAGTGCAATAAAAATCACCAAATAAGCCATATAATAAGAATAATTTAAATAGCCGTTGAATTTCATAGGTTTAATATGCTAAAGCAAAAAGTCATCATGATACCTTACCTGAGAGTCGAGTACAATTTCCGAAAACGGAGGAAGAATCAAAAATGCTCGCGTCTGGCGGCTCGTTCTGATCCTGATTCTAGCAAAACAATGATTGAATTACGCAGTAACAATACCAACACAAAACGACACTTACGTTTGTTCCTTCCAAGTGCTGCGGAATGGAAGGCTTCTTGAAAAATGAACTAAACGTTCCCGTATCAAACAAAGAAAGGCCTCCTTTTGGTTTCTTTCGTCGAGTTTAATGGTTTATCCAAATTAAATCTAACTGATTTTTGCGGCTCGTTTGCGGGTGTGTTTGCGGTATTTTTAGAACTTGCCAGAACTTGCGCGTCCTGTAAATTATTTCATGCGGCCTATCCGTTTATGCTATACAAGGTGATTCACGTTGAGTGAAAGTAACAATGACGAATATAGTATACGCCACGTAGGTAAAATATAAAGGATAACCAACGGCAACTTTTGAATTTTAATTCAAGTCACTATATTTGAATACAATTGAACATTTAATTTGAAGTTTTAAATAAAAGAAATTACTTTTTAAGGACATCGCCACATAAACAATGTTGAATAGGGATTTACGTCAACGAGTGACTCAGAAATCCCATCTCATCAGAAGCTCCACATGTTACAATACCAATTTATTGTGGTTCAAAAATGGCAGCGTCGCGATGGCGCTCCTTTTGACAGTTTTTTATTTATTATATTGCACTCTAACTATCTTCGATCGCATCTTTTTTTATATAAATATCGTGGTTATTATTTTCTTTATATTTCTAAGTATCAAACAATATTTACCAAATAAAAAACATTATAGTTGGCGTTGGATGCTCTGTGAATCTATTACTAAATATTGTTTAGGTTTTTATTGTTATCGTGGGCACAATCTAATGAAGTTAAGGATGGAATAAAAAAAATTGGTCTTGGTACCATTTAAATAAAGGATACCATCTATTTACTGACAACTTCTATACCAGTATAGAGTTACCTAAGTCAATTTTCGAGAAAGGAACATACATAACTGGCACTATAGGGCGCAACAGAAAGCTTATACCCAAGGAAGCAACAACAGTTGGCGAGGCTAAATATTTAGTATTGGAAATGTAACAGTAAAAAAGAAACGTGGAAATTGTGAAACAGAAAAATCGAGCCAGCTATGATACGTGTCTGCAATGGGTGGTGTGGATGAATCTGATGTGTGGATGATCACACTTAGATGAAAGGACAGTAAAGTTTTGTTTAATATTTTTGAAAGAAACGGCTCTAAGCTCATGTATAATTTATCAGCAATACTCCGATAGTGAGAAAATGACCAGGCTGAAATTTACTTCCAGTGTTATAAGTGCACTAGAGAAAAAATAAAGCTGAATCACATACGTTTGTAAATATATCTTGTTAATTTTCCACATAATTTCTGTAATTTTCTCATCAATGAATATGTAGTACCCAATTTCAGTGTTTTTATTATCATAATATAAAATCTTCTGAAAAGAATATTGAAAAAATTATGAATAATGGTGTAATGTAATGGTGAATATGTGTATTGTGCATAAAAATTATCTTATTATCTTATCTTTTTTTCACTGGAATTTTTAGTATATATTCGCAAAACATGTGTGGCACTAAAAGGTGTCTTCCTGTGTATGACCACTTCCATTTTTGTGAGTTCATTCACAGCCTTTTCCCACAAATAAGGTAAAAAATTCAGCAGCCGAAAAGTTTACCTTCAACCAAGCATGCCATATGTGTTTTTTTTTAAGATCTCTTGAAGGTATTTTGGAGACTTGGTTCTTAAGAGATCCTCAAATAAAAACAAACCAAAACGGGTTAAGCGTGACGATTATGGTGGCCATATTATAGTCCCTACCGAGAAAAAGTAAACTTTTCGGCAACATATTTAAAAAAATAAAGGTCGACGATATACAACATTATATACAGAAAAAAAAACCTTATCCAATGTCGTTTAAACCCCAGCAACCAATTTTGCGTTGTATTAGTATAGGCGCAGTGCGAGAAGTTTGAATCATTCGGTACATACAGGGTGTCCCAAAAATGCATTTTTCGCGAAATACAATTATGGAAATAGCGAACACAACAACCTAATTAATTCCTAAATTTCAATTGGAAATATGGAAAAGTCTTCTTATTGTTACTTTGCGGAACTTTTGATAGAATCAACGCGAATCGTCTTGAATAAAGTTTAGTCATAATAACCTCAGTGACTGGTTCAACATGTCCATTTGGCACATCAAATGTGACGTTCTCAGAATTGGTCCCCACTTCTTCAACTTGGACGATATCTCTACGTTGATAAGCATCCTTGCTGGAGTTCTCAACTCCGCTTTCATTCAAAAGCAGAGGGTGATCGTCCGCGGAGACCTCTCTAAATTTGCTTGATGCCTCAGCTTGTTCATCTTTGCAAAGAGAACGCGAAATGTAAAACAAGATCAAGGACATATTTTTAAAAAAATTACTATTATTAATTTATTAATTTCAAATTAACTAAAACTAACCGAAACTAAGCAATACGCTATACACAGCTACTTATCTATACCTATCCCGACCATACTTCAACACAAGAAAATGTTAAGTAGAGCGTTCAACTTTATTATTTATTAATTCCTAAGCTCGATTTCTGGCTGACTGTAGCATTTTTTCGGTGATATTTTGTCACAATATGCCCAGATCCCATTCAAATTTTGGAGAAAGCGAATTAAGTTTGTTGCTGTTAAAAAAAATTATATTGTCATCGTCATCAACCTTTAACAAATACAAAGCTCGTATCCAAAATACAAAAACATAAAAATGGCGTTCGACAGTTGTTTTAGAACTAGAATTATTATTAAAAAAATAAACTCTCTGTTTTGTGGTAAAAAAAAGTAAAGAGGACAGCAACAAAAATTGAAAAGCTAATGTTTATGAGGACTTTACGGTTATTTATTATTATATTATTATTTTTATATTATATTGATGACAGGCGGTTTTACCTGCGGAAAGTTACAACCTACAGATTTTCTCTCACAGTTCCACCTGGCAGTTTTAACTTGGTGTGTTGCTATTATCTAATGTAGGTATAAGTATGAAATAAAAAAACTCAAAATACAACGCTGTCAAAGATTTTCATTTTTTGAATATATCAATAATTAAAATATAATTAACAATTAATTTACAAATTATCTCAAAAGTACGAAAACTGTCATGGTGGTATTTGTTGTTTGGAATGGAATGGACTCCTCTGTCTGTCAGAAAAATTTAGACTAAAATGCGTCATTAAAACGCAAAAGTTATTTTGCTAAAAGACGACAAGTTGAATTTTAAAGGAAATTGGATCCAAAATTTCCTACACATATCTCTAAAAACGCATAAATTACGACAAAAACGATTGCGTCAATAGATTTACCTTTGCGAGAATGGCAATCGTCCAGTTTCTCTTGCGATCTCGGACTTAGCTGAGATACCTGAGATAACGACTTTTGACTACTTTCCGATTTCTGGCTCTGTTGGGATGGTTGACTGCGTCTATCGGACTGTTGAGACGAAAAACTGCTATTCATTTTTTTCCATGTGGCATAGACATCCACTACAGGCCTCTTCCTCTTCACGGGAGCAAATGAAGGTGTTACTGGCAAAGGAGGCAATATTTGCTCGTCCGTTATAACAATTTTGGGATTTATATGTACGTCCGACGGTACCGGTAAACTATGAGTAACGTTTTGGGATGTAGCAAAAAGTTTATCCAATTCGTCGAAATGGGAATCAATCTTTTTCGATGCTTCACTCGAAACTTTGGATTCTGAAAAGATATTAGGTAACGTTTGAACCTCTCGAAAACGACCCAAAATGAAATATATGAATTTTATGACGTACCACTTCCAATTTTTAAAGGCTGTGGTGTAGGAGTCTTCCCATCCGCAATCTATAATAATAACATTTTACATAAACGTGCCGAATAACCTATTTGCCGCAAAGCAAGCAGTCACTCAAAAAAGGCATGTATTGCCAAAGCAGGACATACTACATTCAGTGGTTTCCGCACCAGATGAGCTAAGTAAGTATGAGATATGTTTGGAGTTGCACGACCATCCTAATATTTTTCGAAAAAAAAATCTTTTTAGAAAATAATTTTAGAAAGCTAAAATTGGTGTCATAGAGTCACATATTTCAAGGATGATTTAAGAGATTCAAATGTAAGAAGTCAAATAGATAAGTGATGAAAAAGTATGTTAGAAAAGTTGTGTTTTTAAGGCAAAAGGTTCTTATAAATATACGAAAGCTTATTAAAATCTGACAATGGCAGTCAAGCTATCCAATATTTTGAACGCTGCTGACTTTTTTCCAGTTTTTATGTTTTTATTAAGCTAACCCAAACTATAATTACAACGCTGTTAAGAAGGTATAGTCTCTCCCGTCAGAAAAAAATTAAAAAATTTGAAAATTCGTTTCTAATGTAATTTATTTTTATTTTTGCATTCAAATTTCCTCCAAAAAATAAAGGCAAATAATTGTGTCCTTTATCTTAGCTTAAGTTTGTTGGTTTTGAAATTGCGGTTTCGGTTGGAGAATTACAATAAAAAAAAACGGCTACAGGATTTGTGGTTTTCAAAAACACTCTGCATATTCAAAACTCAAAAAAATACCTTTTGTATGCTATGGTAAGATATGCCTATTTTCTTTTTCATCTTCAATTGCTCCTGCAACTCGTGCAACTTCATAATCTCTTTGGTTTTGTCGTGTTTCAGTACATCCAACTTAATCTCTGCTTGAGCAATAAAATAACTTTCTGCCAATTTAACACAATCTGCATAAAACAATTTCTTCTGCATATCGATTTTCTCGCTGTTAATTTTTTTCCTTTGGCGAATATTCCGTTCCAATATTTTGATTGCGATTTTGTTTTTTAAACATTCAGTTTTCTTGACTTGAAGTTGAAGGTAGAGCGGGTTACGCTCTTTTAATTGGCTTTCGATGCCAGCGCAATTTTTTGCAAGCTCTTGAAGAAGGCAGCTCCGTTTATTTTCTTGTTCTTCTATTTTGTACTTCAAATTTTTTTCCATAATTTGTTGATTTAATAAGGCTTGCATTATTACTTTTTGACTTTTCTCGATACTAGAAGCAAATATATTTTCTTTGTTTTTAAGAGACGACATGAGGATAATTTCAATTGATCAATCTATAAATTATAAATTTATTTCGTTACTTCACATATTACTAAATTACATTGTAAATTCAATTCAATTTCCCCCATAATGTTCGTTATATATAAAAAGAATTATTTAATATTGGTAATGTGACGGATGGCAACATATATGTTTAGGTTAATTAATATGCAGGAACGATAGCACATGAAAAAAATTCACATCTCTTACAAATCTTTTTTTTTTCTATATCTGGCGAAGATATAAAGGACATTACGTTTGAAGGTCGTCTCACGGTCGATGCAACATTTTTGGGAAAATATTTTCAGTGTCACAGTGTTGCCGCTTGTATTAAAAAGTACTAACAACATTGATTTTTTATATATCTATTGTTCCTTTTTTCTATCACTTTCTGATCATTATTATAAAATATTTCGCTATATTTTTCGATTGAAATAGACCCCAATTTAAATTCTTATTACTGGGATACTTGCCTATTTAGAAAGCTAGAAATTTGCTGACAGCCTGGGCACTAGCCACCACACAGCAATGCCTTCTGTTATATAAGGTGTGTTTAAGGAATCATATTTTTTCCGCCTTATTCAAAATTGGCAAAAAGTCAAAGATTTTCGATTGATTTATCATGTTTCTATACCTAAATGGTAATGTTTTCGAAGTATAAGTAATGTTTGTATAGCTATAAAATAAAAATTTCTTTTTATTAATCACTAGTCAAAAAGTGAAGAAAAATAATGGAATAATGGACAATGCAAGCAATTATTCAAATTGAGTTCCGAGGAACTTTCTTATTAGTTGTATAGAGTGTAGCCGACTTAAAATGCAGAAAGTTCAACGAGGTGTATCCTAACTTGCCACCCATGAATCTGAGAAAGTAAATACAAATTGACAATAATTACATTAATTATGGGTCGAAGCTCATCACTTGACAGGAAAACAATAAGGCTTTTTTTACGCTTAGCTACAAGTTTCCATACGATATGCAGAAAGGGCTTAACTCATGCTTCTATTCAAATAATTCTTAAGGACAATTGCATAGATTAATAAAAGGACTAAATTTTTAAAGAAAGTTATTTAGACTGATGAAGCTAGGTTATCACGAGAATACATCTTCAATCGAAGAACATTTTTGGGCACACCAAAATCAAAAAGTTACAATAGGAATGAGAAATTTAATTTTAACGACAAATTTACAATTTACAACGAAACGTGAAATTCGTAAAAATATCTCCAAATTCTAAGCACAACTATGAGTGATTTTTTGGACAACGTTCAATAGGAAGGATACCAGAACTCTTGGTATCAGGTTGATAAAGCACCATCTTACTATTCTGAGAATGTAACAGAAAATTTTGATTTTTCGCCAATTTTGTATAAGGCTGTAAAAATATGATTGTTTTAAAGACCCTGTAAGCCGCAGACGGCATTACCCTATAGATAAAGAGTGCCCAGGAAGTTGGTGAGCTGCAGCCGTAATTTCAGCTTTCTAAATAAATAGTCAATCGACAGGGATACACTCGGTATACATATGACTGATTTTTTACCCTTTTCGAAATCAAAAATAATTTCCGTAATTGTTAAGAAACTTAAATCGTTTAACAATCTTTCATTTAACACCGAAAACCGTATTTTTGGCGTTAAATTTTAGATTTATTTTTATTTTACGACAAAACTATGCTTAAGTTTTCCCATATGCAAAGCTTTCTGATGGATTGACAGTCTTTACCGCTGATATCACATAAAAATTATATAAATACTTTTTTTATGTCATAGAAAATATTTTATTATAAATTTCCCAGGATAAAAATTTCCATTTTACTGTCTCGAATGGATGCAAACAAAAAAATAACTAATAGATTCACTTTAATCTTTAAAAATTAAAAAATCCCATTAAAAAAACAAAAGTATTTCGATAGCTGCTTTTATGGAGTTTTAACGATGTTTTCAAATTTAGCAGTACCACTTGTATCCAAAGCGATTGTTATTCATGTAGATCTACATAAACTATAAAACTGTTTTGCTTGAAAAACTACAACTATTATGACCTATAAACAAGGGAAAGAAAATCTGAATAAAGTCAGAATCTTAATTTAAACAATAGTGGTACTGGACCCAAATCAATCAAAATATAGGTGTTAGAACAGATATGCTCTTTCTTACCTACGGGAGTAGGTATAACTTAGAATAAATAAAACCGTTGGTCCATTCATCGAATACGTTATTTCTAATGTCCACCATATGCCCTCTGAGATAAAAGTAGTTTTAGTACGTATAAAATAGTAACTAATAAAATAATATTTTATATTTAACTACCGATTTACTTACCATTCTTTTATAGCCACGATTTGTTGAATTTGCACTGAAATAAGTTTTTGATCTTCACAGATGTCATTTTTGGATTTTTCCAACTGTTTAAAATCATGTTTTAAATTTTCTAATGAATTGGTATAATCTAATAAAAAACATAGTGGTTTTACAACTTGACAATTTTAACTTTAGAGTCTTACATTGTATTCTAGCATCTCTTTCGGTGATTAACGTATCCCTCTCTTCTACAGTTTCTCCAATTTTTCGTGCCTTTTCTGACACAAAATTGCAATCTGCTTCTGAGTTCATTTAACACGATGAAATTTAAATATATATTAATAAAACAAAACAATTTCAAGGTATTTGAGGATATTTTTCAGTTTAGCAAGAAATAAATTGTTCTGTAAAATGGCGTTTAAGCATATCTTTCATGGATATAGTGATTATGTTCATAGAAAACAATATAGAAAAAATGGTGATTATCTACAAAGATTTGTTCATAGAACAATATTTTAAAATGTTGATTATTACAATTGTCAATGTATATAATTCGCATTTATATAATATACATTAAAGTACATATATAAATAATATAAGGTGTGGGATTCGCCACGGGAGATAGATATCAATGTTAGATACCTGGCATAGTACTCTGCAATAAACTCATTTGTACTCTGTGGCACAGAAAAACTGATGCTTTTTTTGTATATTTTTTGGATCTAGTTGTGTTGTCATGTTAGATTCCAAATTTATGCTTTTCGGACATGAGTATAAAATTTAAGCTTTGCCAAGACAAAAATGTTGTAGAAGACATTCACATGGAAGCTTTTGATGTACAAAATATAACTGAATATCGAAAAAACTTAAAAAGTCTTCAACAAAACGTTAATAACATTTTAACTGAACTCGTAAAGAACGAGTTAGGTTAGTAGTTTGTGTACAATACAATTTGGCCGTCAAGTAGTTGTTTGTAGAAAATTCGCGAGAAAATATTTCGGGTACCGATTCTGAAGAAGAAAGAAGTCCAAAACGGAACACCAGTGTAGAGAGAAATCCACAGAAAAACAAACTTAAAAAGATATAAATTGTCAAAACTCATTTGCATTATTTTTGCAATGTCTGCCTCAGTGTTTTTTGTAAATGCGTAAGTTGTCCTAGTTGCAATTACTTATTATCATGCAATATCATATATTTTAGTGATTCCAGTGAAGACAAAACTGAGGTCCAATGTGTTGATGACCAATCCCAAACCCAAAGTGAAGCGCAGGTTTCATTAAATCGCTTTTGGCCTAAGGTTATGGAAGAAATTAGGGGAATAAAAAATGTTTGTCTCCATATTTTTTCAACTTTCGTTTCACACCAGTGTTTTCAAACCGCATTTAAATCAAACCCAAGTAAAAGCAGCCGGTCACATAAAATAATGTCACCTATGTGATGGCTACTGAAAGCATTTATTATTTTTGAATGAATCAACTGGTGTTAAAATATCTGTTTTTAGTTTTAATAATTTATGTTAATGTGTTTCTTTCAATTTCTCATAATTTTTTTCAGCTGGATTTAAAGCAGCAGGTTCTCCCTTTGGCACGCATAAAAAAAATTATGAAACTGGATGAAGATGTTAAAATGATAAGCGCTGAAGCACCTTTGCTTTTTGCAAAAGCTGCAGAAATATTCATACATGAACTTACCTTACGTGCTTGGATACATACAGAAGACAATAAAAGAAGAACCTTGCAGGTAACAATTTTTACATTTAGCTGTATGCCTAAAATCCATGACTGCTCTTTTCAAAATATCAATGAGCCTTATAAGTTTGAATAATTAGAACACTCTTATGAGCAACACTATGGTTGCCTAAAAGAAAGTCACATAACAATGTAAATTGTGTCTATGAATGTATTAGTATTTATGATAAATAGATTATTATATTATATATTTACAGAGGAACGATATAGCAATGGCAATTACCAAATACGATCAGTTTGATTTTTTGATTGACATTGTTCCACGGGAAGATATAAAACCTTCAAGAAGGGAGGATGGAACTCGCCCAGCGAATTCTGACCAGGTGCAGATATTTAAAAAAATAAAATAAAATAAATAAGAACTGAATGTTCGGATTTTCACAAAATTATATATATTCACATGACAATTGTTTCGACAACACCGTGTCTTTATCAAATATAAAGAATTTTTTCAACTTGATTTCCCCTTTCCTCATTATAGGGTGCTTTATTGTGTTTTTTAGGTGCATTATTACTTCCAACTTGCTCAACAACATCATGCAAACTTGCAACAAAACAGTACATCTCCCACAACTACTGCATCAACAACAGTTGCACAGCCTCAGGGTGCAATCCAGATAGTCCAACCACAAGTTCAAACTGTCCAATTGGAACAGGTAGCTGTATTGATATTATATTTAACCTAATTGTTTTGAACTGCCTTAAATCCCGTTGGTGGTTGGTCATTTTTTTTCCTTTCTAGACCTATTAACTTGGTACTTCATTTATACACTTCTTTTTCTTTCAGACAACACCCAGCTCTTCACCAGAAACAGCAACTCAAACACCAATCATACTGCAACCAGCTCAAACAGTTGCCCAGAGTCAGCCAGGAAATGTACAAATTATACAGCAAATTGTTACTCCAAGTGGTGAAATTCAACAAATTCCAGTAAGTTTTTCACTCCATTATTTAAAAATAATCATGAAATGAAAGATTTGCTATAATTAAAATTTTCTACAATTTTTTTTTAGATTCAGCTAACACCACAACAATTGCAAATGATAAAGATGCAACTACAAGGTAATTCGTCGCAACCTGTTATCATTCAGGCAGCACCTCTTGCAACAACTGGAACACAACCCCAAATTATTCAGGTAGGAAAAGATTTATAATGTTATAAATCATACACCATGGAGAATTTTTTTTTCCAAACTCCCAGTTCAAATTTATTTGCATTTAAATGATTTGTGCTCTAGTAAAAGTTAAATATAGCCAACTGGAAAAATACAGTTTTTAATTGAGTAACATGTTCCTTTCAGGTAGCTCAGCAAAATGGTAGTACCCAACAGGTATTTCTTGCGCAGACCAGCAGTAATGGTGATAATGAATAAGTTTTTAAAAACAATAATGATACTAATGTATTTTATGCTGGAGTACAATTTTAAAAATAAAAGTAGGTATGTTATTTTCTTTTTCTTTATTGATGAATTTAATGATTCAAGAAACTGTCGCCAATCCGTCAACAGTCAAATGACAAATTACTATGTAAGAAATACTATGTATGTACAACATTTTCTCTTTCTAGAACATAATAGAACAGTGAATCACAATAAAAAGAAACTTTAAATTAAATAATTTTATTTCAAAATCAACAGTTATAAAATATTTACAATTAAAAGTTTGGAGCATGAATACATAAATAGTTCATCATATTGGCAAAACAATTCAAAACATAGGTATCATGATTTTACCATAAAAAAATAGAATCTAAAGAGATTTGTAACACTGCTCAAAATACTATTCTATACCATAAATGCAAATTCCCATAAAATAAAAACTATGATGCAGAACAGTACCATCATGGGTCTTTACTTATAGACTTACGATAGGGCTAGCGTACAACCCTGATAGTACTGAAGAAGTTATTTATTTTTTGCCAATAATTTAAATGCAATACATTTTTTTTAATTGATTACATTATATTTCATAGAATGTTATAAAAAAATTATAGAATATTTCTAATACTTCATATTTTTTCACCATTGTGTTGAGAGTTCACAATACAATTATGACATCGAAATTATCATTTATGACATTAACATGTCATGTTGCTGATTTGTTTAATTTGTTAAGGTGCTCCGTATCTGATAATTGGAAACTGAACTCCCAAAACAGTAGCATCTTCTTAGCAACAAGTTTCAATAAGGCAATATATAGGTCCATTAATGTTATTCACAGCATTGTCAAACGTCAATTTCATACTGCACAAGCACTAAAATTTGTTGAAAATAAATTATTAACAAAATGCGTTTAGAGAAGCTCCAAATGTCAAACCTTGAAACCTTGCTGCACGGCCATCAGACGCTTGAGCATATTTCCAAATTCAAAATCCAGAAGAGTTTTTAGTGAAGAATTGTTTTGGTAGGATTTAATGTCTGTATGTCGAACATTAATTACAAAACATTTCATTCGTGTCACGCCTTTTTACTATAGTGTTGTATGAAATTTAAATTAATATAACCATTTATTTTGAACCGTCATTTTCGCCGTCACTACCACAGAAAAGTACAGCAAGGATCAAATAATTTTTTTCTGTCTAGCATTAGTTAACAGTTAACGAAATCTTACTGTACAGAAAGTACTGAAAATGCTTCAGAATCAACCATCAAATTTTAGTTCAGGGGCGCTTAAACTTATGGAACGCAAGCTGAATACGAGAGAGGAGAACTGCGAAATGCAGACAAAAATAAGAATAGAAATACAGTTTTGTGAATTCAATCACAGAGCGCAACACAAATAATAGGGGCAAACACCAACCAAAACCGCATCAAGACTTCTCTGACAATTTTGTCTTTGGAAAAATAACAGGTTACCAAAATAAAATCTTTTTCTAAACTTTGTATAAATTTAGAAAAGCTACAGATCTAAAGTGTTGAACCCTGTCTAAATGTTCTCATTGAATTATTTAAAAATACTGATTCTTTTTTATTAAAAATTGGCACTTATGCAGGTCTTGGCTATACTATACTATATACATGTATACTTTTATCACTACCGCGATTCTACAGTGGAGACGTGATGACATAATACAACACCGAATACAAGGAAAACCGGTAAAAACCCAGCGCAGACTAATAGAGGCTGCATAAGGTGCAATTGTAGCAAGATTCTTGGTGCTGCATGTACATTACCACATTAATGGGTGAGATGAAATCAGAATAAGATCATGGTTGAAGTGAAGCGCGATAAATCTTCACCAGTAATCCTTGGAATACTTTATAGGATGCTTTATCTTAACTAGGGAGGGCTAATAATTCAAAAGTCCCTCATTTTATAAGTGATGACGATAAATACGCACTAAACTTGTAAAATTCAGACCTGAAATCTCTTAACAAACGATTGACGCTCCACCTACATTGTGAACTTAAACTACTATAAAAGTAGGGATAAAAATTTTAAGATGCTGCGTTAACAATATATATGTTTCCAGTTTTCCACAATTGCGGCCCTCTAATTATTATTACACTAATTTGAACACACATTTACCAAATATTAAACTGTTCTAATATAATTTCATTAATTTATATGACCATTTGTTACACTAGTTATTTAAAAATATATACAACCACTAGTGCAGGTGCAAAATACTAGAACCACAATCCTTCTCTAAATGAGAAACTAGGATTAGAATATGTTGAAATACATTGAATGCACTCACATTTAGTTTTTACAATGGGTAATTCAAAGACATTAAGTAGCACAGCAAGTCACAAGACAAGAGTTAAATCGAAAGCACCATATGAAGGCATCTTAGTTTAAGGAATTAAAAGCGCAAATACGATGGTCATTGTTTTCTTACCGAAAACCCTGATTCTAAATACTTCTTAATTAACTGATCTGGATTATCTTTATTGTAACTCAGCATTGCCAATCAGCTTAAGTTTTCCTGCTTTATTTACAAAACTAAATCTAATATTATCTCATCTAAACTTTTTCTTGACAAAATCATAAAAATAATTTCTTGCAAAGAATAATACTGATTTATTAATATTCGCAAACAAAAAACAAATTTGAGTATCAGATGGCAAAATACTTAAATCAAACAAAATGCTTTTCTATACACAATACTTAGAAATATCACACTCAAGGCCTTGTACACCACAGCTCTTGATCCGGAAATAGTTTAACAAATTTTGTTTAATAAAAATTTACCTCTGAAACTAGTGTACATAAAATATATATCAAACAAAACAAGTTTTTAATTGTATCAAAAGTTGGAAAATATTTGTCTAAATTAGACATAAGCAATGGATCAGGAACTATTTCTTAAATTATATGAAGTTTTGCTGTAACACGGTTTGTCATTTTCCAAACATCCGCTTTCGCTTTGAGGAATTTTCGTCTTACGAGAAAGCGATGGGTGACAGTATTTGTAATAAATTATAAGAAATATTATTGCTAATGTAAAGGCAATGACTTGACTACCTGCAGCACCGTAGTACAAAAACGGTTTGTTTGATGAGTTGTTGGTTACACACCTGAAAGCAGATTAAAGTACATTTATACTAATCTTAAGGACTACATCATTTCATTTAACTGCTTTAGCAATTCATAAAATATCAAATATCAATATTTTTTCTCATTTCTGTTAAATCAAAAGTGGTACATACCATACAACTAGACATCCTGTGTTCTCCATAAAACACACTAAATAATAAACTAGATAAACATATCTAGTTGGTCCATCTCTGGGTGAAATAAAGGCCAGAGCGTAGGCCAGTCCCAATGCAATGGAGAGGAGGAGTTCCTCACAACGACTGCTGCAGGCTGCTGTTTGATGCTGGCCAAGAGCCAACCATATGGACATTACCCCCCAATGAAGCCCGCAAATTACCGCCATCCAGGTCGGGAAAATGGCAGCCAATAGACTTAATGCTAATATTCTCGAAACTGTAAAGATACTTAAAAAAAAAAGTAAATTTTACAATAAAAATTAAAAGTGCAAATAAAGTATATTTATCACTACCAGATTATCAGATTTCTAGTTTTCCATTTTAGCTTTAAATTATAAAAAAGGCTTTTATAAAATCAACAATAAATCAAAAATTGTGGAAATTTTGCATAACATGAGCAACAAAAAAAATTGTCAACTTATAAAAATAATAAACCCTTAACATTCATTTAAAGTATTAACAACTTGTACAAACAAATGAGTCATTAACTGGAGTCAAATATATTTTTATCTATCTAAATCATCTACAGTCAATTTATTACCCCATAAAACCTTACCAGTAAATATTCATTTTAAATTAATTAAAAATAAAGGGGATTTGAAGAATTAAATTTAATTTTACTCACGCGCACTCATCAGTTGCCAACAAAATACAACCAACAATCCAACCCACCGCATTTTGCGTTTGTCATCCCGTGCATATCTTACTGAACGATGATATGACGTTAATGCCCAAGCAATTGAAATTACAGATCCAACAATAGACCAAGCTTGTATTAGTGCAACATCTGAAAAAGAAAATTTTTATGGGAATCATGAACAAAATATATTCATTAATTCACATTACTCTAAATACTTGAAATATTTAACTAAGCTAACTAACTTACTAACCCTCAGTTAAAGAATACTTGTCGGGATTTATAATAAAACTTAACAAAAACACAAGCTGAATTACAGCCTGAGGTGCACAATAAAGGAAACAGTGAAATAGTCTCAGTAATGAGCTATTGCTGTCTTCATCCAACATTTTCCTATACAATACAGTCTGTTGACTATCCCCTTCAATGGAACCTGCAATTTTGCTCTTAATTCCATAGACAAGGGTGTCAATATACCTCAGTAGAGGTGATAACTGCAGCAACAACAGTATTATTCTTATTATCCAACGGCATGATGAAGCTCGACCAACTGATGGGTCATCATGGTCTATAATATACCTAAAAAATTTAGAGAATGTTTGTTTTACAGAACATTATAAACCAGAAGTTATTTAAAAGAAAAAGCTGGCAAACAACATTTTGTGATTTTAGTAAACCCCACTCTGACCAAAGTTATTTATAATGAATTATTTTGTATGTCTAATTTAGTGGATCATCAAGTCATGCCATTTTGCGCCATGTTTAAACAAATGCAGATATGTTTCTAAACGATATCAGATTTCAGACTGAAGCATTACAGTTAACTTACCATCTAAAACTCACTGTGGTGATACAAATGGCTGGCAGTAACACAAACGTTAAAGTCAATGCAAAATAAACTCCATGGCCTTGTATACTGTAAAAATATAACAATATTATGGTCAAGGCCAAGTCTGCGATGTATGTAATTATTGATAATAAGACACAAGATACATAAAATGGTCCGAAAATATGACTATTTTCAGTTATCTTGTCTGGAGAGTCATTTATTTTTAGATTGTCTATCCTAGCTAGTGAAGGTTCCCGGGAGAAACGCACTACCGTGCAGTCATCTGCCATAACTGAGAGTTCACATTAACATGAAACTGAGGATGGAGTTGAATCACTAAAATATTCTTATATCCTGATAAGCCAAGATAAATTCCCACATGAGCATGGTTGCTACATTTGGCTTCTATTTCAAGCTGTAAAGAGACAAGCAAGTAAACAAATCACATCACAAAGAAACTGCGGCTTTATAAACCAAAATTCGCTAAATCCTACTCAAAGGCCCAAATGGTTTAGAATTTTTGCATAAGAACGAAAATTCACTCAAAAACATCCACAAGTTGGTGAAAAATGACGCCATAGAAAAAATAAATAAGCGCAAGGAATAAACGCATATTACCTTGATACATTCTTTAACTTTGGTTATTCGGTTATTCGATGCATTCTTTGGTTCGGGTAAGACAGATAGCATAAAAATTGAATGACGATCGTCAATGATTATCTTATAAAATAAAAGTCGCAAATTGAAAACGACATCCTTTCTGTACGAAATTTAGCTTTCTAGATGCTGGATGGTTTTGACAGTGACCTAGCACAATTGCGCTAGTTTTTGTATTTTAAAGCTGTTGCGGATAAATATAGCGGGTATTTGGCTGCTTATAGTTACAATGTTGATCAGCTTATTGTAGCCAAACAGCTTTTAAGTATTTGCGCTATGTGGTTATTAAATTTAACCGGAAAACATTGATTTTTTTATCTATGGTCCATAGATGACAGAACTTAGATGTTGATGGCATTTGTATATAAATAAAGTGAATTTAAGAGATCCGAGTGTAATTAAATGATCGCTACTATTATTTAAAATGGCCTTAACAAATATATTACTCCTCAGTCAGATAGCTGGATATGTAATTGCACTCATATTGTCTTTATGTATTATAGTTCCCATGAGTCTCCAACAAGATGATTTCAAGTGTGTTCAGCAACAGTAAACTTTTCGTTACTCTAATTTTTGTTGTTTTTAGAGGTCATTGTTTATTATTTTCTACTGGCGAATGGCAAGAAACTGATGGTCAGTTAGCGATACATTGGTCTTCCCAGGGGTACTGCAATTACACTATATTTGTTGGTGTTGCTTTGTTTCTTGTTTCTGCTGTACAAATATATAGGTATTTGAATATATTTTTTACAAAGACACATAATTAGTACTTATGTTTTAGATTATCAATTTTTATGTACAAGGGTACAGATAGTAGCTTCCTATCTACTTTTATTGATGTTATTACAGGAATTTGGATATGTGGTATGACTTTTATAGCAGCATGTATGATAACTTTTGGATTTATGGCATGGTGTGAAAATATGACTGAGCGTTTCCCATCGTAAGTATAAAAGCACTTCATTGAATTGCTATTTTATTAACAAATTTCTTAGATGTGAATTGGCAGCTGGGCAAGACATTGATCACAAAGATGGAATTAATACAAAAAATTTCTACATAGAGCTAGGAACTGCTCAATTTGGAATATGGGGATCATTTGCTACATGGGTTGGCCTTTCAGTGTGTGCACTTCTCAAGCTCTGTCGATATCATCAACTGGAAAATATAAGAGTGTCAATGTACCGAGAACGACAAAGATTAATTAATGAAAATGCTGATTCTCCGGGTAATTCATTGGGAAGGGAATCAAACAGCACAGAATCCACAGCTACTGCAGAGTGATTAGCTTATGCTGTATTGCATTATCCATATTTATTAGTTTATGCTATAATACACATATCATTATTCCTTCATCATACTGTATATAGATTAGTAGGTATGTTCTAAATAAAAATTTGTGATTAAAATTAATTATATTAATTGATAGATAAATATTGCAAATTAGATGGTCAGTTGGAACACCCTTATGACAGAAGGATGGTGGATTTATATAAGTTGAAAAACTCATAACCTATAGTAGAGAAACATTTTATTCAAAATTTTTAAAACATAAACAGTTTACAAAAAGAGTTACTAGTTTACAAGCCTTCCATAAGGTGCTTTAATTGATTGCGATATAGACACATAAATTTCACCACAAATGCCTCAAGATGAACAATGTGTTTATTACCTTGTGACATTCTGTGCTCGTAGATTGCTGCCTCATGTAGAACTGCTGGAATAATTTGTTGATCACATTTAAGCACTAGTTCTTGGACTAAATATTTAAAAATAATTTCCGGAGGAATTCCATTAGTTAATAACTCATACAAGTTTTCTCGAACTTTCATTAAATTATTTAGAGATTGTTGGTGCACTATGGCATTTGCAGTCTTTTTTATAAAAATCCTCCAGTCAGGCTCTGCAATAGTTTGATGTTGATTAAATGGATATTGTTCAACTTTGCAAGCTTCACAGATTAATAAAGCACGACGGAGGTTACCATCTGCAGCTTCAGCTATTTTTTTTGCCAATAATTCTGGCAAGTGAAGATCTTCTTTTTTGCAGGTATTTATTAAAATATTTGAAATTTCTGCAATACTAGGAGCAGGAATTCGGAGTGGTAGACATCTAGACTGAATAGCAGGTATTATAGGAGATAATGATGTAGCACAGAGAATTAATCTACAGTTACTTGAATACTTTTCCATTGTACGTCTTAAAGCATGTTGTGCATCTTTGGTTAAATTATCAACTTCTGTCAAAATTACTACTTTAAAATCCTTTTGAACATTACTAGTGACAATTTGTTGTGTTTGAGCAATATTTTTAATGAGATCCATAACCACAACCCTGTCGTAGATGCCAACGTCTGATGGATTGATTTCTATATGATAATTACTGCTTACAGTCATAATTTCTAATTTTTTGTTGGAAGGTGTTGTAACAGTCATTGTTTCCAACTTTAATCTTTCCACTCCAGCTCCAAATAGTTCCTTTAATATGCACATGATCCTAGTTTTTTTTCCGGCTCCTGAGGGACCATATATTAGTAAATGGGGAAAGTCACTGTGTTCGACTAAATTTTTCAATTCACGAGCTTGCTGAATGTGAAAATCTAACAACGATAAATCCTTTGGGCGATACTTATCAACCCAAAGCACACTCATTTTGTTTAATTTTGTTCCGTTTGTATCTTATAAAGAAATCCGCGGGAACCTATTACTATGGTGTGGTTATGTTGATAGACATATTCCACTTTTTTAAATTTGATTAGCCATAATGGTTAAGATCATGCGGCTAATTTCTAAGCGATAGAACTTTATTAACTTTGTGGACATCTATTGCTTCCAGGCGTGGAAATTCTTAGAAAATAAAATCAACTGGAAAACCGTCAAAACTGACATAACTTATGCTAATAGTAATAAAAATATAACAAATAAACATAAACATATGTAGTACGTAACGTACATCCGTTATCAGTGACGATCGTTGTTCAACTTGTCCGGCAAAAAAGGATAGTGATATTGTATGAGTCCCATAATTAAAACTTTTTTATAAACAAATATCAAAATGTTGGTATCGCTTGTTGGTTTGAATGATATGTAATATTTGGTACCTATATAGAGAATGTGGACTGTCCCATGTATATTTGTAACATAGTTAAGTTTCTTGTTAGTTATAAGAAGCCATGTTTATTTCTATTCTTTAATATTATGCCTTATTGTGATGTGTGTTTTTCATACCAGACAAATTTACACCGGAAAATTAATTTGCCGCTAAAATGAAACAGTTCAAAATGAACGTTTAGGATCACAAATACCATCATCGATTATATTGATGATGTTATTACGGGTTCGGAAAGTAAATATTCAAGTAAAGTACTTTCTGCTTGCTCCATTATTTGGGAACCTAATAAAACATAAGAAAAATAGTCATGCAAATATATGATCTGAATGGCTAATAAAACCCTGAAATATGGATATGAAAGGAATTCAAGAAACAGATATTTCACGAGAAATTTCTGAACAAGCAGTTACTAAATTGGTAAATTGTGGGATCATATGTCGAGTCTGCGCCAAAGAGAGCGATAAACTCATTGCAATATTTGGTGAAGATGGCACATCTAATGAATTGGCAATGAAAATGAACCTTTATTTGCCAATAAAGGTACTTGAAACAGATGAGATGCCCCTTCAATGCTGCTGGCCTTGTGCATCAACTATATTAGCTTGGCACGATTTGGTTCTCTCCTGTGTAGATGCAGACAGAAGGTTGAGATCTTATAATTTTATTGTTTCTGAGAAACAATTGCCGGAACCTACATTTACGGACGAGAGGGTCTTAAGCAGTGGCGTTGTTGATATGTAAGTTTTTGCCTTTTTGCATCTTTTAATTGTCATCTGATTAACAATTTAGTGTTGTGTAAATGCTGAGATCGATATTTTGTAGCACTGGACAGCATGTTTTTTACCCTCATATCATAAAATTATGTAAGTAAAATATTAAACATTCTTCAACTTAAAATAATAGAAAAATAAAATTATTTACAAATTTTCTGGATTCCTCCTCTGTCGGTTGGCGATGAATTGAACTTGCTGGCATTTCTCCAATCATCCTGTTGGCTTCTGCATAGCTTAACTGAAACTGGTTTGCATTCTACTCTGTACCTGCTTATATACTGTTTGATTGGGGCTAAGCTAACGAAGGGAAATGAACATTGGTGCATACAAGAATTTTAGTTTGGTCAAATAAAATTTAATGTCCTATTTAATGATTGTGTTCTGCAGCTAATTATAATTTCGTTTGTTGTAGTTTCACAAAACTTTTGAATTAGAGAATAAATATGAGGATTGAGTCATAAATTACTTTCTATAAGCAAATCAAGATTTTTTACAGTACTCCTTAGGCTTCAGAACAACCTTACTTAAGGTAATGTAATTTTCTGCAGAAATGCAGGGCTTATCTTTGGCAAAAACAATATAAGAGCAGCTTCAATTTCCATGTACAGTGTCAAAGTAACAATATTTACAATTTTCTTATCTTGCTGCAAAATGATTCCATAGTGTTCCATTTTGACTAGAACATTAAAAATTTCTATCTTAAGATTTTAACAGTTTTAATTTCGTGTATCCATTCCGGAAGGTTGTTGAATATTTTTATGCACTGGTAATAAGGTCCCTTTTCAGTCCCGGTGAATTGATGGTGATAAAAACTAAAATTCTGCGTGCGTGTTCATGTAATGTTTTCAGTATATCCACAATGTAACTAACGTGGAATTGCCAAGTTAACATATTGTCCAAGAAATCCCCAAGAATATAATCTTTTTGCTTAGGTCTACTTCACATCGATTGATGTTTATCGTTTTTGGTTCAACTACTTTGCTCTTGTTCTTCTTAAATAGTACTATATTTATTTTGTTATTATTAACAACTAATTTATTTTAATTAAACCAATGTTCAGCTGTTTTTATAAAGCTCGTGGCTGTGTTCTTTAGGATATTTATATCAATAATTACTAATAGGAAACTTGTATTGTCAGCAGAGTTGGTTGTTTTACAATATACTACTACTCTAATAATGACACAGGAGCAGGGCTAGATACAATTCTATCCACGCCCGTACATATGGCTGCTTGTTGCATGGTACCGGTTAGATATGATTTGATCCATTCCAGAGTCACCTCTCGGATATCATATTGTTACATTTTCTCAAATAAAATTTCGTAATCTAAGGTATCGTATGCTTTTGTCAAGTCAGAAATAAACCTAAAGAAAGATTTACCCTCTCCTGCTCATTCAGAACACAAGTTACAAAATTAAAGACCTCAGCCGTTGTGGATTTTCCCTGTAGATACCCATGCTGACATTCATTGAATAAATTATTTTCATCATAAATTCGACAATAATCTTACATATAACATGTTCAAATATTTTCGAGAATGTTGAAAATGAACTGATAGGCCGGTAGTTTTCTAATTTACTCGCATCCCCTTTTTTAAAGACAGGTATCACTACAGCAATATTTAGTTGTTCTGGAAAAAACTCATACCTTAACGAATTATTAATTATGTAAATCAGTGGTCGTGCAATTGCAACAATTACAAATTTTAATAGATTACTGAACAGTTCATCAAACCCGCTACAATGTTTATTTTTTTGATATCCGCTATTAGATCAGGTCCTGCTTTTATTAAAAAATCGTTAAAATAATTTCTTTCCCAATATATTTGCGTTGAATTTCGTTAACAATTGCCCAAGCACTTTTACTATTATTGTCTGAATTTTCTCTGCATCTGAATGAAATCTAAAGCGTAGATAACCGAATCTTACTGCGGTGTTAACGAAGTTTCGTATTTATTAGTCATAGGAAGAATGTTCAGTTTTGAGTATTTTGTACATAATTAATGCTTAACCTTTTGATATTATCATTAATCATTGGTTAGGTCTGAAACAAGGCGTTGACTTTCCACTTACCACCTCAGCAGAAGTACTAATGATCAAATCTGGAATGGTACTAGAGGTTCTAGTGACCCTGCTTGGCCTTTGAATATGTCGAATAAATCTAAAAAAGCACATACTATTCACAAATCTTCTGGATTCCTCCTGCATCGGTTATTTGTCAATCAAACTTGCTGCCGATTTTGACTGGAATATGTTTGAATAATGGAAGAAAAACCTACTATCAACTAAAGAAAGTGGGTTTTTAAATAGTTATGTGCAGTTTTAAAGGGGATTTCAGTCCGCAAAATTATGAAAATGCTGGTTTTGTCTATAATCTGCTTGAAATCAAGAGCGAAAACCAATTGTTTGTCCCAAAAACAGGGGTTTTAAGTACATATCTGCTTTTTAAAGGTAGATTTGGATACAATAAGACGCGAAAAAGCAGTTCTGACTGATATCTTATCGAAATCGGCAACTATTTGACTCAGAAAGTTGGTTTTACACCAATAAATAATGGTTTGACTATAATGCTTAAAGACGCCACTTTCTGACTAGCATTTGAAAGATATTGACTGCTTTTTCGCCCCTTAGTGCACCCAAATCTACCTTAGAAACGCAGATATCTACTTAAAACCCCTTTTTTTGGGACAAATTTTCGCTCTTGATTTCGATAGTCCAAAGAAACAGGCGGAGCTAAAGAAGGACCATGAACATTGTCTTTGATGACTGATTCCCATATTGAAAGGTAGATTAGCTCCGCCACCTTCAAACAATACATAAGCAGGGACCGACTAGAACGCGAGCCGGTTTCAGGTGTCAGTCAAGCTCTAAAAAAACGAATAGAATGATTGGCGAAACATCAGCAATTTTGAATTTATAAACAATCGACGCAGGAGTAATCCATAAGATTTGTAAATAGTTTTATACTATAATATAAATATAATATATATATATATATATATATATATATATATATATATATATATATATATATATATATATATATATATATATTTATATTTATATTTATATATATATATATATATATATATATATATATATATATATATATATATATATATATATATATATATATATATATATATATATATATATATATATATATATATATATATATATATATATATATATATATATATATATATATATATAATATAATATATAATATACTACATACTGGATCATTGGCCATCTGCGTACCATAAAATGGATGTAAAAAATTACATCTTGCCTTGTATTTGGTATTTTTACCAAGTACATTACCTGGGCTAAAGTCGGCGCTTAAATTGCCACCATAACATAATCGTATTCGGCGATCAAATTAATTAAACTAATATCGAGCTCATTTAGACCGTCGCTTAAATTTCGTAGCGGATTTTTTAGCCGAAGCTCGTAAATGCTCAAGAACCCCATCTTTCTGACAGACCTATAATACTCCGAGTTAAATCTTGCATAGTTCTTTAAAAACAGATGAAATACCGAACATTAAAGTAAGTAATATTTTTTATTAAATAATAATAACATTTTAAGCGTAATGCAAAATTAAATTGAATGAATTACAAAAGCGCGTCTGTGGAAGTGGTTAATACCACCATCTGCTATTTTTTTCTGTCATGAACTGTATTGGCAATATCTTGATTTTCTTTAATTTTTCCTAGAAGGATGAGCTGGCTGTGCATTATGTTCATTGTCCCTATCCCTTTCCTTTGAGTCGTATTTCAGGCTCTTTTCATGTTCCGTTAGGATATTCTGTTGATTCCCTGTCCCTTGAGACATATTTTTTCGGAATGGCTGATGTAAAATAGATTTAATACACTTTATAGACAACTTCTGTTTGCATTTCATTCTTGCTGATCTTGTATTTACGAGAACATTTTTTAGACGGCCCAGGATACTTAAACTTTAATACCCGATAAAGCTAAGAATGGGTTTGAAATATATATCTTTCTAAACTAGTTTCTTAACATTCGTACCTATCAATCCAATGTTTCAAACCTCACATTCAAGACTTGCAGGTGCCGCCACTAAACATATACTTATAAGAGCGATTGATAACGAAATTATTAATTTCTTTTCTCTATTGAAGGTTTTTTTTTTTATTTTATAATTATATACCTATCCATTTATTTGCTGGCATACTTTCCAGTCGCACAAAAAATCTTAAGCCGTTTTAGCAAGCTTTTTACTTTTTTTTTTCTAAAAAAATGTTTTTCAAATATGTTTACCAACTGTGTTTGCGCCAATTTTTATATATAGTACCTATCAATCGGACAATATTGTTGAATATCCTTTAAGCCACTTCGCCGCGTGATATAGCTATTATGAAAAGATGTTAAGATATCCGAATATTTATATTTTTATATTCGTAAAACAGATACCGATACTCTGGTTAATGGCTTATAGAATCTTCTTTTACAGGGTGGTGACATCCGGTAATGAAAATCAAAACGCATTTAATGGATCTCATCTGTCTCACGAAGCTTTAGTCGATTCTAACGTAATAGAAAGCTTTAATTTGGCTCTGCAAAGTAATAACGCAAAATCAATAGTAGACTGCTCCCAAGCTTTGACATTAGACACTTCCCAGAATAACTACGATATTGTTGAAGAAAGAGATGCGTTAGGCGAACTGCTGTCCCCAAACTCTTCGGTTTCTTTCAAAGACGAATCTCACCAAGGCACGAATTGCGATGAGAAAGGAGCAATTAGCGACGACAGTGAAGACGAGAGCATGTACAGATATGCGTGTTCCTTTTGTTCAAATTTATTTATTTCCGAATGTGATATAAGAATTCATTTAAAGGAATACCACCCAGACGCCGATACTACCGATATTTCTTTTGATGTGTCCGAAGTACCCAGGAGTTTAGAGAGAACATGCGGTTCGTCACCAGCGATACCGATCCTTAAACAAAGGAATAGAAAAAACAATAAAATAGACCAGGAGGTAGTAAACGCTGCTAAAATGGTGGTAGAGGGTAAGATTTATTATAACTGTAAGGAGTGCGGAAAAAGTTTACATTCACCTTATACGTACGTGTGGCATATGAGGATTCACACCGGCGAAAGACCATATGTGTGCGATCTCTGTGGAAAACAATTTAGAGTCTCTCAAGGATTGGTTAGGCATCTGAAAGAAACCCACGCGAGGATCAAAAATTTTGCGTGCGACATTTGCAACAGGTATTTCGCCACGAGAAGGAATGTGGAAGAACACCGGAGAATACACACAAACGAGAGGCCGTACGTTTGCGACTTATGCGGTAAATCGTTTAAACAGAAGGCTTCTTTGTTTGTTCATAATCGGTCTCACACGAACCATTTCCCCTTCAAGTGTAATCATTGCCCACAAGCTTTTAGAACCAAACCGTTGTTAATGTTGCACGTTACTAGACACACCGGCGAAAAACCTTATCCCTGCGATATATGCGGACGGCGTTTCAGGATTAAATACGAGTTGAAACGTCATAAACTCATCCATTCCGACGAAAAACCATTTACCTGCAACATGTGTGCCCTGGGATTTAGGCAGAAAAGGTACTTGCGAAATCACTTAAAACTAAACCATCAAATTGAAGAGCCGATAGATGTCGAGTTGCATTCGTCAGATGCAGTAAGTTGATATTCTCGTGACGTTTGCCCGTAACATAGAGACTGAATGATGATATTATTGATTAGTTTTGTACGGTAACCCAGAAGGTTAGAGTGTATATAAGAATTGTATAAGTAATGAATGTTTCCTTGGAATATTGTTTATACCTACTCAAAGAGTTTCCACTTCCTAAGCCATGTCATAATTCTTGTTGATTTCTGAATTTATCAGAGTCGGTTAATTTGTATTAAATCATTTGAAAATGAATATAGAGTTTTATTTATGACTCAACTGCCTAGTGTAAATGAAGTATTTAGAATTCCGATTTTTTTAAAATTGTTCGTAAATGGCTTAAAGGGTAGACTGCAGTATTGCCGCTAATAGGTATGCAGAAATCCATATTTGTGTCATATTTTTAGAATTAAGGACGAATCAATTGAATCCGAAGCTGAAACATGGAAGAAAAACTTGATAAAGGACGAATTGAACATCGTTGACGTCAAAAGTATTGGGGAGTCAGATAACAGCAATTTGAACGACTGTGTCCTTTTGGTAACCTACAGCGATCCAGATTCGTCATTGGATAGAGAAATCACCCTATCCAATAACGATTCAGATAGAGATAGTGCAAAAGGCTTGGCAACGGGGGCGCGTGCAAGAAAAGGGATTAAAACAAGGCGAAGACAGGAGAGGAAAAGAAATACTCTCGGTAAACCATATTGCAGTAACCTGCAGGAGTATTTAAAATATATCAATTTTGAAAAAAAGTCTTGCAATATTTGTCACACCAGCTACAATACATATATCTCTCTTAAAAAACACTTAAAAGATACTCACGATCTCAAAGAGCCCAGAAGAAGAAGGCGAAAGGAGGAGATAGAATCATTGTTCCAGTGTTTCCATTGCGATAAAAGTTATAACAGGAAATATGACATGGAAAAGCACGTAAAGAAGAAACATCCTGATGTAAAGTTAGAATCTAAACAAAAAGTCAAAAAAGACGTTGAACATTGCAAAATAGAAACGCCCGATGGCGTTGTCTACAAGTGCGAATCTTGCGATCAGTGTTTTAAGTGTTCATACACGTTAACACGTCACCAGACGATACATACAGACGCGAGGACTCATTTTTGTCACATCTGCGGCAAAAATTTTAGGGTATCAAGCGCGTTAAGTAGACATATAAACGAACATCATCATGGGATCAAACGTTTTAACTGTTCGATTTGTAATAAAATGTTTAGAACGAAAGCAGGTAGAGATGAACACTTGAATATACACAACGACCTTCGGCCGTTTGTATGCGACACATGCGGTAAATCATTTAAGCAGCGTGCTTCGTTGCACGTACATAAAATGTTTCATACGAATAATTTTCGATTTAGTTGTGACGTTTGTGATAAAAAGTTTTTACGAAAGAACGATTTGAAACAGCACGGTTTAATTCATACCGGTGAAAAACCATTTAAGTGTAGTGTGTGCGATTTAGCTTTTAGATTAAAATACGACTTGAAAAGGCATATGGGAGTGCACTTGAAAGCGGCATGCAATAAATGTGGGGTGGAATTTAATCAAGAAAGACATATGAAGAAACATCGCAAAGATTGTCGGCCAGAAGCTGAAATCAATGTACCGACTAGTTCTTAAGTTTCATAAATTGGTGCATAATTTTATGTTTTTTTTTTTGTTGTTAATTATTTATTTTCTTTGGGTAAACTTTAAATAAATCATTATTATATTAATTTCTTTTAATTGGTTGTTTGCATTTGTTGGTATACACTGGCCGAGCAAAAAATTTAGATCACGCAAGAAATTTTAAGTAATTTGGAAATAAAAAGTTTATCACCGAACCCTCAGTGTAGCAGGCAGTGAATTATTTGCTTTCCTACAAATGTGGATGGAGATACTTATCTGTCAGTTATTGTCAGCATAGTTTCGACTTTTTATGAAATAACGTAAGTTCGACCTAATTAAAAATTCTAGCGTTAGATACTTTATATTTATTATATTTTTTATATTTATCTCTATAAAATTTACGATTGTTTGGTGTTGTAGATCTAAGGTGTATATTTAACTGGTCATTATGCCTTTAGATCCTATAGTTGTGGCTAGAATTGTAGCATTAATACAAGATGGTCGAGGATAACGGGAAACTGCAAGAATTGTTAGTAGAAGTCTATGTGCTGTATAAACGGTATACCAACGCTACAAGAAGACTGGCTTGATCAGAAGACCAGGATTCGATTAAAGAGACGATTGATTTTTGGCGTCCGCAAGTTTGGCTTCGAAATCAACTTCAAGAAGTTAAAAATGTTAATGTTAGCGAATGTAGTGTTAGAAGAAGGCTTCGTGTTAATGAATTGTTTTGTCGAAGGATGACTAGAGGGCCGCCATTGCACCGACGGCATCGAATAGCAAGATTAGCTTTTGCCCGAAACCAATTAGGTACTGTGTTCCGATGAATCCCGTTTTTCCCTCATTGGGTCAGATGGACGTCGCACAGTATGGAGGAGATCCGGAGAAAGATATGCCCCAGGTTATATTGATGAAAGAAATCCTCATTGTAGTGGTTCGGTTCGGAAGTACGCACAGAATTGGTCTCTGACAGCTCACAGTTACATTACGGAAATCCCGGATAATCATGCTATGGCTTTAATGATCACTATGGGCGAAGATGACATTTGTATGCATGTTAATGCCAGACCCCACACCGCCGTCAGTCAACATCTGGATGAGGTGGCTATTAAGCCAGCACTCAGGCCAGACATGAATCCCATCGAATAGGATGAGATGAGACGACGTATTCCAAGACATACACTAGCTCCAAGAAGAGTCCAAGAGCTGAGAGAGTTGCCAATTCAGAAATGGAACAACATCGATCAGAACGTAATGATGTAATAAACGTACATATGAATGAATTGGGCTTTGTTTATAAAAGACATCTACCAGACCGAGGTGATATTTTTTTTGCTCGCCAGTGTATTTTATTTGAGTATCAATGTCATCGAGATAGGTGAATATTGTATATATGATCTGGTCCCATGTTGTAAAATCTTATTCCTGCATTAAGACCTGTCTCACCCATTATGCTCACACATCTTTTCTTCGCCGTTTGGAATATCCCTGTACTTAATATCTAGCTCTTTCATTTGAAGTTGAATAATTCTTAGGGACTAATTATTTGAGGTTCCAGCTCTTAGATGCTGGTTAGGAAATGAATAGGAGTTTCTTCCTATACGTTCTTTCCTTCTCTACATGTACTTTTGATGACAACGCACATTATATGGTTTCCAAGATGTCCTCTAGATGGCAGGTTCCTGCCAAGATTCTTGCCAGTTTTCGTAGTCGTATGCGATTATTATCCAAATGTTCCGCTGCTAGCAGTAAACAAACGTGGCCATTGAAAGTAGATGTTTGGAAGTTACCTTTGAACAGCTCCTTCACCCTGGATAAGCGACAATAAAGTATTATGTGTGGTTCTGTTATCAGTTTATTTGGCCTATGGTTTGTGGAAAACGCCGCAAGAAATGTAATCTGGAAGCCAAAGTTTTTCGTCTGCCTTCAAATTAGTGGAAATTAACTCTATTCCTATGAAATTAAGGGTCAATTGTATATTATGATAGTATATTATGAGTTTTTGGATTACATTCTCTTTCAAGAAATGCTGATACTATTTATTAATTTATTCATCGAATAAAAATAAAAATGACATATGTACACTTAATGCGATGAAATTTCGATGAAATGTTATCAGTAATCAGATCATGTATCAATCCAAAACTGTCGGAAATTTGAAGATAATTGTATTTTAATGGACGGCAAATAGATTACTGGCAAATGTAATTATCAAATCGCCAAAAGCAGGAGAGTTTGTGAAAAAATATATGAAAGGGATATTTAGAATAGTTGTTCAGGATATTGTTATCTAAAATTTTGCAACCTGTTATAGATATTTCAATCATTGTGTTCCAAATCACATATGCAAGGTGTTCCCAAATTTGACGTGATTATTTTAACCATACGCTCAAAAATTGAGATACTAGATATACTTCGTTTTTAGATACGGTTTTGGTAACTGATTACTAACCTTTTTACACTTTTTACTCGAACAAAAATTGTATCAGTTTTATGAGTTTTTAAAATCTACAATTTACAGTTCTGGTATATGCACCTCCTTCCAATCCACTATTTGCGGTTACACATAAGTACGTCTCATCCTCTATAAAATAAATGATTCTAGAGAAAATATATGTGCTGTATATATATTTTTTGGTTTCGCTTAAAATAAGTATAATTATTTTAGATAATTATATAGGTATGGTAAGTCCGCCATGATCTAGAGTTTAAGTACTTATCTAGTCCATTATACATCAATAAACTTTAATCGTAAAATAATCTGAAAAAAGTGACATCGAAAATATAATTTTTTCAATATTATTTGTCACGATTTAAATCGTAAAACCTCAGCTACTCGTGTTGATTAGTTTTGAAAAGCAATGGAAGTAGTATTTTAACTAAATATAATAGGAAAAATAAAATTAGGCCTAGATGTACATGAATTACGTTGTGTTGTTTCTCAGGACCTTGCTGATTTGGGATTTTGTGGAAAGTGGTGAGTGGATTTCTTTTTATCGATGATTAAAATTACTAAAATGCCCCGTCTTGCTGAGTCAGTTTAGTCAGATTCCAAAATTAAAGTGAAATTAATAAAGTAATCAATAGATTTAGTTACTTTTTTGTTATTAAAAATACCAAATTGACATTTTTAACTAAGAAACAATTTTTGCTTTCTCAACGTTAAATCAAAAATAATAATTTTGGATAAATATTTTTCTCACTTTTTCGGTAATATAACGCCATCAAACTGGATATAAATAAAAAACGATATGTGAAGGTTTTAAATAAGTAGATATTTAGTAATATGAAAAACTAATAGCTTTTATTTTTTCATGATTTACTTAAACTTGATTATTTATAGCCGTTTATGAAATAATTTTAGGAGACATTTGTGTAGATGGAGATTTTTATCCAGATGCAACCGATTGTGCCAGATATTATCAGTGTTCTAACGGTAGATTAGTATCTATGAAATGTCCCGACAGATTGTATTTTAGCGTCGCTTTAAAGCAATGTACCCACCCCGAAGATTCCGGTTGCATAACAGATAGTTCAGACGAATCTGGTAGGTATGTTGTAGACTTATATAAAAAAAAAATAATCAGCTGAGCACTCGCATTAAAATTTGTGAAGTGTTTTCAGAAGTACATCCCTGCAAAATTTAGTTTTAGGAGCACATAATATATACATCTTACAATTTTTTTTGATTTTGGTTTTAGGATATATTTTTTTAAATTTTCGTATTCCCCTTAAACCACCACACGAGATTAAAACTGGCCTATTATTTTTGCCAAATAATTAATCGCCAATAAATCAATATTGCTAACAAATTTTTAAAATGCTTCAAAAGTTTTCAGAAAATGGTAAATACAAAAGTTGTAAAGATTGTTGGGATGCATATTTTAAAATTATTTTAAAGTATACAGGGTGGCTCAAAAATGCGTGACGAATAAAACATACATTTTTTAGAATGGAACACCTTATTTTCAAAATTTGTTTTGGATTCGTTTTTAAATTCTTCAACTTTTTTGTTTATAATAATACACATCTACACCTAATAGTTTTTCCAATATTTTAAAAATAGTAGTATTTACACTTGCAAAAAACTACAGCCAATCGAAGATGACGTAAAAGATATATGCAACGAATTTGAATTATTTTAAATTGAAAAATCTCGATTTTCTTGAATGGCAGACCATATATATTATTATTTTTTCTCCAAGATCTTACAAAAACCTACAACTATTATTGAGTATGTCATAATTTGAGATTTGTTTTAATTTTTCCAATATTTATCCTTCTTTCTGTCTATAACATTAGTTAGCCATGACAACATGAATGAATAGGCGTATACGAACTAGACAATCTCTTCAGTGTTTAATGGATCGGTTTGATGCTAGTGTTAGTATTGACTATGGGACTACACCAAGAACTTCTAGACTGTGATTTTGAACAAAGAGTCAACTTCTGCACCGCAATAGAAGCAATAGACGCGAATCCAAAATTTTTGTCTAAAAAACTACTTTTCGCAATAATGGTGCAGTTAATCGTCATAACATGCATTATTATTCAACAGTTAATCTATTTTGTTTAAGGAAACGCAGTGTGCAATAAAACACTTTAAAATTATTGGACCTTTTTTTTTTTAACCGGCATAGATATATTAACTTTTTTTACCTCAACTTCTCGAAGAAGTTGATAACATTGAGATCCAACAAATGTGGTTTCAGCAAGATGGAGCTCCTCCGCATTACTATTAAGAATTTCGAGATTTTTTAAATAATCATGACCCACAGAATTGGATCGGTAGAGGTGGATTCATTGGATGGTCCCCTCGATCATATTACTTAACACTGCTAGATTTCTTTTTGTGGAGATATCTTAAAGATCGTGTTTATGTGAATCCCCCTACAACACCAGAAGATATGGAAAATAGGTTTCGCAACGTGTGCAGGAGAATAATAGCGTATACGCTTATGGAAGTCCAAGAAAATATACAAGAGCATATTTTTGAACATTTATTTGGTCATAATAATATTAAAAAATTTTCTGTGAATTTAATTTTTTTCGTCATTTTCACCAAAATTACTAATGACTGTGTTTTCCTTTTACCACGGCTTCAAAACAGAAAAAACAGAAGTATTAATAAGAAGAGTTGAATATATCCAAATCAAATTCAAAAACAAAATTTGAAAATAAGATGTTTATTCGTCACGCTTTTTTGAGCCACCTTGTATACTTTAAAATCATTTTAAATTAAAAAAATAACGTTTGAAAGCAATGAGATAATGACTCGTTGATTCACCCAGCAAGGTTTAGACTAAAAAGCTTTACATTTATTTTCTTAGAATTTCAGGAATTACTATTTTAGGTTCATTTTAATTAACTAACAATAATAATTGTCAGTTTAGTTAGTAATCAAAATTTCTACGATGCACGTAACGACTTGTATAAAAGTTAAGTTTAAGTATAAAATAATTTTAGTGTCTTTTGTGAGAAGTTTTTTTTTAATTTTTGCCAGTATTTTTATATCTGTTAGTGTGTTTTACTACTGAAAATACAGTTTATTAGTAGTAGCAAGAAGTAAATAATGCAAATGAACTATTTAAGGTTTTTTGTTTGCAAACTTTGAAACATTTTTTTTTTTGGACAACAGAAATGTTTGAAGTGTGAATATTTTTCTAGGAAATTTTTGTTTAAATGGAGAGTATTATCCTGACAACACAGACTGTACGAAGTACTATCAATGCTCGAACGGAATGTTAATCTCTATGGTCTGTGCTCCCGGACTGCATTTTAGTCCCTCATTCAAAGTCTGTACTTACACTGAAGAGGCAAACTGCACGATAACTACGCTATCTATTGATATGCCATCCTCGACGTTCGAGATAAGGACTCAGACATCTACCAAATCAGGATCTGGGATTACGAAACTTACTACCCAAACTGTCGACGAAATTGAAATATCCTCGGAGTCTCGTACGACGGAGATATCGAATATCACCGAAGACATTATACGATCGCCGATATTTGAAATAAGTTTAATACTGTTCGCTTGTACAATTTTACTGGTTATTTTAAGTTTGTTTCTTTACAATAAAATTTGTGCTGGCAACTTTTTTTCCATTAAGCGATACAAGTCTTATAAAATAACTCTTTAAATATTTGTTTTTAATTTGAACATACTTTTATTATAAATGATTTGTTATACAATTTTGTGTTTTTATCATTTAAATTAATTTTAATATCGCTACTACCGCGCAAGATCGTCTTAGTGATTGTTTGAGTTTTATAAGATGTAAGTTTCGTTTGTATGATATTTACATGAAATTATCAATATTTTTAAAACGTGTAATTCACATCCTTACATTGCCAAAGTCAAACTTTAGTAATAATATACATATATCAACAAAGATATATCTGCTCAACTCGCTTTATTATTGGCTACATATTTAAAATCGATTTCGATGTTCGTTTGAAAGCTATTACTAATTGGATTCTGAGATGTTTTCGGTTTTAAATAATATTAACGGTCCAGAATAGATAAGTATGTGTGGTACTGCAGTTCATAGTACACACATTCTTGTCTTTTGATTGACGCAAGAGTAAATATTATTCACGATTTATCGCCTAACGATCTCGCAAAATAACACTTGCGATAATGCGGTATTTCAGCAAATCTGAAATTTATGAAGGACCTGTCAGAAAAAAATTCGCCAATTTATCAAACAGATGTCGCTATGGAAACTAACCAAATCGAACGAGGGAAACATTACACCCACCAAGCAATTGAGACAAAGAAATTCCTAAACAGAGTAGCACAAACGCGGTACTTAATGCCAATTTTTTTAAAAATATTTTTTCTAGTTTCTTAAATAATATTTAATCTAAAATAGCCATTTAGGCCGCTACTTAGTATAGTTTCAATTTATTTTTTTTCTGCCAGGTCGATCAAAAGATCTCTGTAATAAATACTTTGTATACGAACTTTTAGGTTAATACGTATTAGAGTATACTGTGTGGTAGATAATAATTTGTCGAAAAGCTCGATTTATCCTATTATATGCATCTTCAGTATCATTTGTACAGCTTCATATTTTTTAAAAGGTTGAACTTTTACTTTTTTCCCTGTTTGTTTTTGCTTTTACTAATCATTAAAGTGCTGGTTAGGACTACTACTATAGAAACCTTTTCTGCTTAAAAACCAAATGAGATAAGCAGATTAAAATTGACCTTGACCCGTATAATAATTGCTATGATCAATCCTATTTTCTGAAAAAAAAAAAAGAGTTGCATATATAAAGTTCGTTTTGTTTATGTGCTAATCAGATTTTCTTTTTTGGAAACTACCACGTAAGTCCATCATATATTATTCTCTCATGAACTAGACTTTTCAAAAATAAATACAGTAATATACAAATAATTTGTTTTTATGAAATAATTGTGACTTTTGCTTTGTCACGTAGGTCACATGATGCATACTTTATTAAAAGCAGTGTGGTTAAATTTTGCTTTGCTTCAACTTCAATCAACTTCTGACTCGAATGCCATTAAAATCGTGTTTTGTGGTTCCAAAAAATTACCGCAAAATTGTTTACTGATGGATTAGAAAACATTTTATCATTCAAAACACGCCATCAAACGGTTGACATATCATATGATTTATTTTATTTTTTATCTCAAATAACATTTGCGCATTTTTCTGTCCGACTGATAATAAAAAAAACGTTTTTTTTACCTACACAGGGTCTATTAATCGGAATAACACGTACATCTGTGGATATTCGAAGACTAAAATGGTTTGTTTATTACGCCCACAGTTCAGTTTCTATATAAGAAGCGGTAGAAGGATACTTTTTTCTTTCAGTTTTAACTTATAATTATCAGCATCATTTTATTTTGTGTGCTTTAATACCTTTAATTATTTATAGGTTCAGCGGACCAGATTCTTGCTAACCCTAACGATAGGAGAACACTTATCAATAAAAGTTCATTTTGCCAAGTTCATAAAATTTGCGATATAATTTCAAACAGGGTTTATAATTGTAATTGGAGTAATATAATTCAAACGACGGATCTCAATTAACCAAATCATGCTTGTGTGTTGTGTTGCCTAGTCGGCAGAAATTTGGCCATTTAAGGATTGACTCCACGACTTTCCCTTGGTAAGAACCTCGGAAGGCTGGTATGGTCTGCTCATAGATATAAGAAAGTGACCAATTGCTTTTGATTGGGATTATCCAAGGGTAGTCATTAACATACAATACAACAAGTTTCGGAATTTAAATTCAGGTAAAATTGTGGTCCGTAATAGAAAATGATTTTATATCTACCTGTGTTTAATATTCGTTAGTTTAAGTTTATTAGTAATCATTCTTATTTCGTGTGTAATACAGCGCCTGTTGAATCGTGTGCGAATTATGCAAAATATGTGCGAGTCTAGTGTATCTCAGGAGATGCTCCCGCCCAAATGTAGAAAACACTATTCTATTGAGACTAAGGAAGTTATAAACAATGTTTATTTGAATCTCATTGAACGTGCATGTGATAATTATGCAAAAAAATCTAGGGCATACAGTTTTAAGGCTTCCACCTTACCACTGTATATTTAATCAGATTGAACATGTTTGGCATCAACTGAAATCTGCCATTCGTCGTAACAATGTTTTCCCCGTGATAATTCCAATGTCTATAAACTTATAGAAACCGAAGTTTTTATCATCCCTCCACAAAGTTGGACAAATTCTGTTAAACATATAGAAAAAGCAGAACAATCGTATATCCATATTGCAAATAATATAGGACAAATAATAATTAGAACAGGCGATAATAGCAATAGGGATACTGATATATTATGTGAGTAATTTTAAGTAATTTAAGTAGGTAATAAAAATAATTGATAATTTTATTTTCGATTTAAACGTAAATACATACATAAATAAATAAATATTGTTAAGTATCTTTCCTAAGAAAACGCCAAATAATTAAATTCTATGCAAAGTACGGACCTGTTCGGGCATATTTCATTCTTACAGCTTGTCCGAGTCTTTCCTTAATTCGTATCAGATCGTCACTTTCTTATATCTATGAACAGACTTTACTCTCTGGTCTGATCGGATTGACGGCTTATCCTAGAACACCCGTCGAAGAGCCAATGAAGTTAATATTTTATAATGCGAGTGTTTTTTTTATCGATAGCTGTACCTCCGACACTTTTGTTCAAAATTATATACCGTTCTTTCAAAAAATAATCTGGTGATTTGTAAATAGATTATTAAAAAATAACTTTTGTTTGGTTAATAAACATGTGTCCTTATTCAGAACAGGTCCCCTTTTTTTTAATTTCTGAAGATTGAATTTAGACCCCAAATACACACACACTACAACTGACAAAATTTAAGCTCAAATAACTTACAAAATTTGTACTTCATAAAATTACCTTTTTAAAATAATGTAATAACTAATTCACTATTATTTGTTAAAACTCCAATAACCTAAAAAAATCAATCAAGACCAAGAAATTAAAAATATTACCAAAAAATAAGTTCGGCGCAAAATAAGTGGTAGCAGTAACTCTAGGTGTCCAATCAAAGGTATTTGTGGTCTAAATGTCATTAAATATTCTATTCTTAAATTACCTGTATAATATATTTTTGTTTTAAATTGCCTTTTCCTATTAAAATGGCCCCACATGGAATAAGATCTCTTATACAAACAAGAAACACAGCTAATAACTGAAAATACCATAACAGGATAGGCGAGAAAGATAAGTTAAAATGGGATAGCAAGTGAAAAATGAAATAAAAAAGTGCAAATCTTAAATAAAATTTTCAATCTTCATATCACAGTAAACCACCCATGGTTAAAACAGAATTTTTAGCACATTAGCACATTTCGCCAATCATCCTGTTGGCTTCAACAGAATGATTGGCGAAACGTCAGTATGTTCGACTCAGCAAAAATCGACGCAGGATGAATCCAGAAGTTTTGTAAAAAGTATTGTAATAGCCTGTGGAAGTTTCTTTGAAAAATTAGAATTTGTAGCATTTGCAATCTGATATATTTCAGAGTAGCCCCTATACTTACCTTCATATTTCACCGTTTTCACCCTAAACGGTGCCATTTTGATAATTGAACAACATTCACTTCGTAAAAAATTACCTACTAAATAATTAAGGCTTGGCCTGCAGAGTAAGTAATGCAATATTGATGGTTGAGCTGACAAAATTTTTATTTGATAATTTGAGTATTATTGAAGGTAATAGAAGTGCTCGTTTAGCAAATACCAAGTATTTGCATTTTAAAAATCCACTTGTTATTTTAAAAACCATCGTTGATCCTTATGAGTGTTAGAATATGCAGTGTTTCTTTTAAAACAAGTGAGACGAATAAGATCTCTTATGATTAATTATTTGCGGCGGTTAACATGTTCGTTATTATTTATTATATTAAAATAAACCAAAAAACATTTCTTCCGGTGAAATTATGGGCAGATCAAACTTCCTATTTTATTATTTCTACTTCCTCATTTCTTTCCATTCGATAGTTATGAACAGACTGATGAAGATAAGTCTTTTGCGTGTCCCTAGATCCCTGTTAACTAACCCCAAAAAATTGCTTTTGTTAACGTTCGATGACTATATATAAAAAAGTGATTTTATTGCCAGAACTTAGATAACAATACCAAACTCTAGAAACCAAAAAAAAAGAACTTTAAACCTACACTACATTAATAAAAAAAATCGCGTTTAGTTGTTTCCGATGATCAAAATCAATTTGCTTTCTATTTGTTTTTGGTCGTTAACCCAGCGGCAACAATTTTTTTATCGATCAAAGTAAACCCCCCAGAGGATTCTGATTCGCTCCTTAATGATTCAAAAATGTGATAATGATCATGCATTCGCGCATAAAAGTCGAGAGCATTTTTGAAATTTATCAGTCATTAGGCAGAGATTTGCATTTCGAAAATGGTTATCGCCAAGTTATTGATAATTTGTGTGGTCGCCTTGGTTTCAGTTTCCGCTGGTAAGTATTTGCAATAAATATTGGTCAAACCATTAAGTAAAGCTTTCCCTCATACGAAATCAGTTGACAATATTGAACACAATTTTCCGAAAATGTTAAAAAATAAATCTTGACTAGACTAGCAAAAATTTACTTTTAAATATAATAAATAATATAATAAACTTGCAACTTGTCATTTTATAACCGACCGTCACTAATTTAATATAAATTACATTTATTATTCCAACAAAATTCAAAATGTCTAAATTAATCCGGACTAGGATTCGACTTTCCGTATTTTCAGATTTGTTGAATATAGCAATATCTACCACACACAGATGCAGTAGAAGTTAATATTTTAACTTTACGAAATCGAATCTTTATTCAATAAATCTTAGGCGCAATACCTAATATTTTTTGAGTTAAAATTTAACTAAATTTTGTTGTTTTCTGCAGAAATTGAATACCGTAGACTGTCTAGACCTTCCAAACCCACACGAGCACCATCAAGTACGTTTTTCTATTGTCCTATATTTAAGAATATTTTTAATAACAATTAATTCAATTTTAGCGGAATGTCGTAGACAGTACCTTCCGAACAATAGAGACTGCACCAAGTTTTATCAGTGTTCAAATGGCATCCTCTACAGCTTCGATTGTCCCCCCGGTCTTTATTTTAGCCCTAAATTAAACGTGTGCACGTATCCCGAGGATTCTGGCTGTAGGGTCAGACCCACGAGGCCTCCACGACCTACGAGACCCACAACAACAACCACAACAACTACAACAACTACCACAACTAGGAGACCGAAACCAACACGCCCAACGCTACCACCAAAACCCACAAAAACAACCAGGCGGCCAAGACCTACTCTTCCGCCAAGACCCACGAGACGCCCGCGAGGTGATTTTTAATTCCACAATTTTTATCTTTTTGACAGGAGTGTGGATGACCTTCAATTTTCGTTTTAGTTGGCTGTTTTAGTAAACTGCGTTTGTTTTTGTAGGACCCCCGAAAGGACCCCAACCTACGGCGTTCTTGAATCTATTTCGCCAGTTCCCCTGAATGATATTGAGAAACCAGATTGACGGAACGACGCAGTTATTCTTGTTATAATGTTTGTGTTAAATATAAATTAGTTATTGCAAATGCGATATTTTATTTGCGATAAAAAAAAAGATTCGTTTTGGATTAAATCTGGATCGGGATATTCCGATATCGGGAAATAATATCTCAATCGATACCACTTTGACAAGCTGCACTGTGATTATGCAAAGAACATCCTCGAAAGATAAAATTTAATTAATTACTTGTTTATAACGCGCATTGTAGAATTTTTATAAAAGTTGTTTGGCTCTGAACTGCCGTTTTTTCAAATCCAGTTTCTCGACCTATGGGGTTGACGTATCTGAAATATCCTTTTATTACTATAGGAAAAAAATAAATACAGTGGAGAGTAAAAGTTGTTTAAAATAGTAATTTATAGTAATTTAGTTTCATATTTTAGTTTAATATTTAAATAAGACATAGGAAAGCATGATCACACTCAACTGAACAACACTTTAGTAGGCTGTCTATATACTATTATCATTAGACATTGTTTGTTCTAGTGTAGGGATAAATGATTATTAACTAGAAAACAAGGATTCGTATTGCTTAACTGAAAAAAGTTTCAGCTCCGAAGAAGCCAACAGGAATTGGCGAAACGTTAGCAAATTCAACTCATCAACAACCGGCGCAGGAGGAATCCGGAAGTTTTGTAAATAGTATTTCAGTAGCCTCTGGAAGTTGTTGAAAACTCTAAATTTCAATGGAAAAAATTGAAGTTATCTTCTCGTAAAATTATGATACGTAAACTGAAATGATCTGTTGTAATTAGATTAAATTAGCCTCCTAGCAAAAATTCTGCTTCACAGAAAAACATCTGGCTTTATTAGCAATCGTTGATATTGATGTTTGGAAATAGTAGGCCAAGTAGTTGAAACAGTTACATTAATTAATATACAATTACTAATTGAGAACGAGTCAACTTCGCAGTTTTTGGCTATAGAATATGTTTAACATTTGCAGAGGGGCTCCTAGCCAAATTTAAGGTTTTTAACCACAATTGAATTGGAAAGAAAAGCATCTGAGTCCTCATCACTGCCCCCTTCAGCAGTTGGAGCATTTGAATTAACTTGTGTAACGATCACGGACCATTGATAGTCGTATTCAGAAGTTAGATATGTTGGACGAGATGGTCTCAAAGTTGATCTCGACAACATTGCCGCCATTACCAACCTTGCCACTCCAAAAAATCCCAAACAAGTAAACAGCTTTCTTCAGTTCGTGGTTTCAGAGGTTTATTCCGTAATTTGCAAACGCCTCTAAATCACTTAGTAATTTGATAAAGAGTTTAGTAAAACTAGACTCTTTCGAGAGGCTTAAAGTTTTATTAACTTCCACGCCTATCTTACTCCAAACTGATCCTAACAAGCCATACATTATTAAGACTGATGCCAGTCCAGACGACAGGCCGGTCGAATAGGCTAGTCGTTTACTTACAGTTGTGTTGTACTGATCGAGAAGCCCTCGCACTGGTTTATGCAGTTAATAAATTTCACCAGTTTATGTGAAGACCGATCACCAACCTCTTCGATGGCTTATGACGTTGAGGCCGCCAACTGGTAGATTGGCCCGGTGGGCTTTACACCTTCAAGCCTTCGACTTGCTTGCTGCTGAACCAGAACTCAACAATTAGAACATCGAATGTTTTTAGTGGTTACATTGTAGTCCAGGAGTTTTACATCGCTACGCCAGTGACTCTGATTTTGACGAAGCCCAATTAGCTGTTCCTCAGGTATAAACTTCATGAGCTCCATGATTCCCCACTAGCAGGACACAATGGTGCCGATAAGACTTTGAAGCGAATATCTCAAAGGTTTTACTGGTCCACTATGAGGAGAGACATTACCAACCATATGCATAGGATATCACAGATATAAACCAACCAGTCTTAGGTCTGCTGGTTTGTTACAGACTCTCGTTCTAGCTCAGCGGTTTGAAACTTTAACCATGGATTTGGTTGGACCATTTCCAGAAGCGGAAACTAGTAAAAAGTGGATTTTTGCTATAGAGGGTACCACTATATGAATCGAGATGTTTGCACTCAAAAATATAACAGCTGAAGTCTGCGACGAAGTCATTCATAGAACGCAGTTCGTAACTAATGTAATACAGCAGTAGCGCAATGTCTTTATTTTTCCCAAAGTCTTTGTGCCACCCAGTTTCTAATCTAGAAGAAAGAAGAAATAGGGACCTCAAAACGTAATTATCAATTCTTGTGGAAAGGGATCACATAAAATGGAAAGAAGCGTTACCCTCGATCAGATTCTCAATGAACTCTGCTGACAACCTATCTACCGGCAACAGTTCTGCTAATTTGACTTAAGTCCGCGAACTGTGAGCACCTTGTAATATCGGACGCCATTTTCGAGCTATCGTTGACAACGAAGGATTGTTGCTGAAGTACTGTCCGACGTTAGAGAGACGAACGCACTTAAGAAGGCTGCTCCAAGGTAGACGCTGATAAACGCCGACGAACAGAACAAGTCAGGGTAGGAGAAAAAGTGTTGGTTGATCGATGTTCGTCCCCAGAGGAGATGGTCCTTCCGTAATCCTGAAGATAATATCTATCTCCAATCTCTTTCCAGATTGCCTCCACTCAACCCCCAATGGTACCTATTGGTACTATTTATCAGCCCTTACTAAGTTTCTAGGTGATGAAAATCCCGAACCTGTAAGACGCATTCATCCCCGAGGACGTCCACCCAGTATGAGAGTTCGTCGACTCGCAAACTTTTTTGACGAAGACTAACTTTGTTAAAACTTTAGCGGGATGCTGCAAGTTTCAAAGGGGGAGTATGTAATGATCACTGACCATGGATTGTCGTGACTCGGACGTTTTTTTGACAACTGTCATTCGTCAGACATGCAAGCTTAGTTGCTTCTCTTTGTGTTATTGATTCTTTATTATGTAACTTTTTATTTTCTTTTCCGACATAAATTTGATTGTGTAGTGTGATTTCCATGAAACCCCGCTATACTTTCTATTGTTATTTTATTGCAAGAATTTCTCTATTGTCATTTCATTAGTTTTGAAATTATTAGTGGTAAATAAATATGATCTCAAAAAAATAATGTTTTCCGTTGAAGATTTTTGTACGAGATAATATCGAAACTGTTTAAAGTAAATAACCCACTTGAGAAATACTATATCTAAAAGTCTGAGTCATGAAACAACTTTTAGTAAACAACGTTCTCCTAGGAACGGATGCCTGTTTATCACTTTCATATATTTTCTTATTAAGGTGACAGAGATAGAGCAATCGTTCTCTTGGGAAAGCGTTCCCCAGGTTCAAGAATAAGAGGCCAGGACTCTGACTGCATTGTTTCGACGTTTTGTATCTTTTATTTTAACAATTAACTTCGGAAGTGACTCTTGCATCAAAACGTAGTAAGCTGTATCTGGGAAAACAAAAAAATGTTTTTAATTATAAATACATTTGCTAAATATTATTCTTTTTTGGGTTGCTTGATATACCGGGTTAGTTAAACGTACCGGAACACTTATTAACAGCCATGTTGTCAGATTTACCACTTTTGCGTACCACACGTCATAATTTTGTTATTTTTAATGGTGTGGCCTATTTATTTTTGTTGCAATGAATTGCGCATGTCGAATTTAGTAAGGTGTCATAATTTCAAAATTTAGTTTCGTATGTTCAGAAACCTTCAAAATTCTGAGATGGTAACAATTTTTTTATTAACTGTGGTAAATCTGACGACACCGCTCTTAGCATTTTTGAATTCCGCATGTATTGAAAATCTACAGGTATTGAATTTTATCGCTTCAGCTTTGAGATATTTAAGCATTCCGTTAAAATTTTGAAATTATAAGACCTTACTAAATTCGACATGCGCAATACATTGCAATAAAAATCAATAGGGCATTCCGTTGAAAACAACACAATTATTACGTGTGACGTAAAAGGGGTATGGTCTGTTCATAGATATAAGAAAGTGACCAATTGCTTTTGAATGGGATTATCCAAGGGTGGTCATTAATATACAATGCAACCAGATTATTACCTAAAGTTTCGGAATTTAGATTCAGGTAAAATTTTGGTCCGTAATAGAAAATAAATTTAAACCTAGCGATAGTGATACTGATATATTATGTGAATAATTTGAAGTAATTTAAGTAATTAATAAAAATAATTTGTAATTTTATTTTAGATTTAAACATAAATACATACATAAATAAATAAATATTGTTTAGTATCTTTCCTAACAAAACCCCAAATAATTAAATTTTAAGCAAAGTACGGACCTGTTCGGCCATAACTGCTTGCCCGGGTCTTTCCTTAATTCGTACCAGTTAGTCACTTTCTTATATCTATGAACAGACTTTACATCTGACAACATTACTGTTAGGATTTTAGAACTTTGTATATTCAAAAACTGCAGAATTTTATAGTTTGAGCTTAGACAGTTTTTGGAGATATTTAAGGGTTCCGGTATTTTTTATTAACCCGGTATATGTATATAACAGTAATAACTAATAAAGTACTCGAGACACAAACAGTTGAATTAGAGTCACAACGAAAGTGAAAATTTTGTTTTTTTAAATCAAGCAGGTTATCCAACTTTAAATATAACAAACATTTTTTAAATAGATATTCTTTGGGTCTCTAATGTTTATTTATATTTACATTATGTTCGAAGCGATAAACATAATAAGAAAAATAATAGCAATAATATGCTGATATGTGTTTAAAGACGAAGATGGTGGTATCTTATCTTAGAAACTACTAATTTTCAAAAAAGAGTAAATTATCAAAATTTCTAGAAACAAAAATCTTTAATTTACTATATTTTTATATTATTTAAGGTATTGTATTGACTTAGTTATTTTTAACATAGCGCTGTATGGGTTGGTGGAAAAACATTTTGGGTTTGTTGTATATTCAGTTTTTCACTCATCTTTCATTTAACGTCATTAAACATTATTAAAAATCTGTTTGAGTAAAACAAAAGCAATATCTTATTTTATCTGCCCATATTATGACTTTTTTTCTTTAATTATGGAACAAGTCTTATAAAAGATA